CTCACCAGGGAATGTCTCATCGGCCACCTTCAAGGCACTCTGCCTTCCATCGGCACTCTGCCTTCCATCAGCGGCTCTTCCGAACAGGCTGCCCATGTCACTTCCCTTGCTGAAGCCCTTGTCATAGGAGCAGCCATAGCCAAATGAGCCCTTCGTCGATGCCTTCTGGCTTTGCATGTGATTGGAAACCTGACAGGGGCCGCTGTAGCCCTTGCTGATTGTCTTGCCCTTGCCCCTGCCGCCATTGGCCTTGCCCATCATTTTGCCCTTGATGGCACTCTGCCTTTGACTCTGGCTGAACTCCTCTGCTGAGCGCTGCCAGCACATCATAATCTTTCTGAAATCTGAAATGAGGCGGCGCCAAATGGTCTTGAACTCATGACTTCTTTGTTCAGCATCAAAGTCATTGGCATGTGTTTGATCCCAGCCACCATACCGAAGATGTGCAGTGCCAAACGGTCCACAATTCGCCAAATACTGATACCAGTCCCATGGCTCAAAATTCCGAGGTCTGTCATCTGCATTCATAGAGATGACAATGTCAGGCTTGACCCGGAGCTGGTCATATCGGATCGGGCAACCAATACTGCCAACAAACAGTTGCCACTGGGGATGGTCGTAAATCAAAACATCATCCATGGGCCACGTCTCGACATCATGCTGGCATGGCCGAGGTGGCGGGATCGACCCAGGCAGCACATCTGTCTGGCCGGTCCATGCTTTGTACAACTTCATATCCATATCTCCGAAATCTGAGATGGCCTCAACTGCCAATTTGATTCGTTGATCCAATTGTGCAGCCCTTTGGATCTTTCGGAGCCCGGTGGTATAGTCGGCAGCTGATCTGCCACAGTGTAAACAATTCCACCGAAGTTGTTGCACGGCTTCGTTCCAGTAATCACTGCCAAGGTCAATGTGATTGGCCTGATTCTGATGGTCAGCAGCAGAAGTCTGGCACTCTGCCTCGGAACTCCCTGAGCACCTTGAAACGGTCGTCGGCATCACTGCTTTCATCGAGCACCCAATTGTCCAACGATTAAAACATTAACAGTGACTAATGCATCACTATACAGTACATTAACCAATGATATGTAACATTGTGTTACTACTGTTACATCAGTATGAATGAATCACTTGATTATCTGGCCGGCAGATGTCGATCATGTATGGTGCAAGGCAACTCACTGACAGACTATGCAGGCAGGCAGGCAGGCAGCCAGCCTCGGAGACAGCAGGGTCCTGAGGACGTCACTGCCACCCGGCACTGTGTAGTCAGCATGTCATGCTGGGTAACCTTTTGGAATCCAAGTTGCGCACACTACCGCTGAGGTCTCCAATCGGACAGTCTAGCTCTGCTGGCTAGATCGTCGAATTCAAAATCCTCTAAGCACACGCAAACCCGGCACTCTGCCTTCCCCAACATCCGTAATGCGGTCTCGGAGGCTGTACAAACACGATGAATCACTGATTCATCATTGACGACAGAGCTTCGTCTCGCACGTCATTGTAATATAAAATTCCTGGCACTCTGCCTTCACTGTAATCCTGCATAAATCTCGGAAAGAGTACGTGCAGGATCATATCATTGATATGCCAGTCTACTTGCAAGACATGCCCACGCTCTTCAGAATTCAGAAAGAACCACAATGTCGAAAAGGACTCCTCTAGCAGCGCGTCGAAATAAATCACATAATCATCGTAGTCACTGTCCATGATCGAGGCCACAGTGCTTGCACGCTCATCGGCAACCAGAATCCAGTCCGAGTCCAGAGACTCACTGTCACTGCACGACATCGACGACATCTGCCGGCTTGCAGGGGGGCCTACTACGACTTAGACTAGAGACAGAGCAGGTCGTCGGCATCACTGCTTTCATCGAGCACACAATTGTCCAACGATTAAAACATTAACAGTGACTAATGCATCACTATATAGTACATTAATCAATGATATGTAACATTTTGTTACTACTGTTACATCAGTATGCATGAATCGCTTGATTCTCTGGCCGGCAGATGTCGATCATGTATGGTGCAAGTCAACTCACTGACAGACTATGCAGGCAGGCAGCCAGCCTCGGAGACAGCAGGGTCCTGAGGACATCACTGCCACCCGGCACTGTGTAGTCAGCATGTCATGCTGGGTAACCGTTTTGAATCCAAGTTGCGCACACTACCGCTGAGGTCTCAAATCGGACAGTCTAGCTCTGCTGGCTAGATCGTCGAATTCAAAATCCCCTAAACACACGCAAACCCGGCACTCTGCCTTCCCCAAGATCCGTGATACTGTCGCGGAGGCTGTACAAACACGACAAATCATTGATTCAGTGACGACAGCCATTCGTCTGTCACATTGAAATATAAAATTCCTGGCACTCTGCCTTGCCTAAAATCCCGCAAAAGTCTCGGAAACAGTACGAACATGATCTGTTCATTGATATGGAAGGCTGCTCGAAAGACTTGCCCACGCTCTTTAGAATCCAGAAACATCCACAATGTCGAAAAGGACTCCTCTAGCATCTCGTCGAACGGAATCACATAATCATCGTCGTCAGCACTGTCCGCGACCGAGCCCGCAGTACTTGCACCCTCATCGTCAACCAGAACCCAGTCCGAGCCCACAGACTCACTGTCACTCCACGACATCGACGACATCTGCCGGCTTGCAGGGGGGCCTACTACGACTTAGACTAGAGACAGAGCAGCTGTAACACGACTATAGTAGATTACGCAGGGCAACAGCGAGCACAACTGCTGCAGCGGCAAGTTGCGATACATGACACGCTCACTGACTATGCAAGGCAGCTTGTCCTCTGCGATGGCAGCATGTCCTCAGGATCCTCGTCATGAGCCTCGGTGCCAGGACTGTACCATAATAATGGAAGTAGCTGAAGCAAGCTGATGCTGAGATCCCAGCAGTTGGCATCCACTTCTCGATGGGCTGGAAGCCGATGAAGACCGATGGGAGAGAAGGAAATGGAAGAGAAGGCGTTCACTAGGCTTGGATTCAAACCGAACACTTAGACCTGGCCAACGGTGTGGGGAGCAACCCCGATGGGGCAGGGACTTAAGTAAGGCAACCTCGAGAGGCTCGACTGGCACTCTGCCTCTGTCGATCCAAGTCGCAAGGCTCCCTAACTAACGTGACAAGCATGGATGGCCTCCCCTCCTGGTTGGGAGAAAAATAAAAAAGCCACAACCACTGGACCACCCCACCCGGCACTTTAGCCCATGTGCCCGGGTGTCATATGCCACTGCCCTGGCACGTTGGCCCCAAGGCGGTCCAGGTACCATCGACAACACCTGACACCCGGCCAACGGTGTCCACGAACCGAGATGGGCAGTCGATCCGTGTGGGTAAGGTGGCACTCTGCCTCTGTCGATCCAAGTCGCAAGGCTCCCTAACTAACGTGACAAGCATGGATGGCCTCCCCTCCTGGTTGGGAGAACAAATCAAGCCGCAACCACTGGACCACCCCACCCGGCACTTTAGCCCATGTGCCCGGGTGTCATATGCCACTGCCCTGGCACGTTGGCCCCAAGGCGGTCCAGGTACCATCGACTCAGCACCTGACACCCGGCCAACGGTGTCCACGAACCGAGATGGGCAGTCGATCCGTGTGGGTAAGGGCAAGGTCTCAAGGCAAGTCAACATGTCACTACGGCCTCCCTTCTTTGTTCAATCACAACCCAAAACTATTTAAAAAGATTAAATTTTAAAAATTATTAACTTCAACAACAAATAAACAACAATTTTGTAGACATACAGCAGCAGGAAACCAGGTAGAACAACAGGAAGCCAATTGACTCACTCAGAAACAAAATTCACAAACATGTATTTTTTACACCAAAAATAAAATAAAAGAATTTTAACAACTGTAAAACACAAAAAAACCTATTTAAAAAACTTTTAAATACAAAACAATACTTTTAAATACAAAAAAACACTTTTAAACACAAATAAAGCCAACCACATACAAAAATGAGATTTTGGGTTCCTTTCATATAAGCCTTGTTGATCTAAACCCTGTGGTTCTGGTTCGGCGCAAAGGGTTAAGGACTTAAGGGACTAGTGTCAATAATTGATAGTAGTAGTAGTAGTAGTAGTAGTAGTAGTAGTAGTAGTAGTAGTAGTAGTAGTAGTGGTAGCAGTAGTAGTAGTAGTAGTAGTAGTAGTAGTAGTAGTAGCAGCAGTAGTAGTAGTAGTAGCAGTAGTAGCAGTAGTAGTATCATAGGGATCCATTCCCCCAGCCCCCACAAAGCACCAAGCAGAGTTGGAGGGGAGCTCAGGGTTTCCCCAAAAAGGGCTTAGGGTTTGGGGTTTAAGGTTTAGGGTTTAGGGTTTAAGGTTTAGGGTTTAGGGTTTCAGGTTTAGGGTTTAGGGTTTAAGGAGCTTAGGGTTTAGGGTTTAAAATTTAGGGTTTGGGGCTCAGGGTTTTTTAGGGTTTGGGGTTCGGGGTGTCAGGTTTAGGGCTTGGGCTCAGGATGTGGGTTTCCCTTAAAACCCGAAACAGGCACATGCCTGGGAATACTCGTTTTCTGGGACCCTCTATTCGACCTCCTGGGCTGAGGTGCAGAATAAACGGGGTTGAGGGTCTCAGGTTCTTGAGCTTGTTGGGGTGCATAACTTCAAAACCGAAGCTCTGCACCCTGAACCTCAAGCCCTAAACCCTAGACCTTGAACCACGTAAGCCTATTGCATAAGCGCCCGGTTTCTTTGAAAGTCCGCTTGTCGCACTATGCCTGGTTCCTGCATTCCGCCTGTACACCCAGCAGATTCCCAATTATGAGAAACCGTAGGACCCATCAAGAATCCTTGAAGCACTTATCCAGAGCCCTTCACAACATGTCTACAGAACCCCTGAACCCGCAAAACATCACCTTACATCTTTTCTGTTTTTTGGCAATCACATTTGCCTTGGATCTGAAATCTATCCTCGATTGTCGTTGCTTCAAAAAGGGCGTTTAGTCCCTAAACCCATCCATTCTGGGAGCCCCCACTCACCCAACTCTGCGAGGTGTGTCTCGAGTCTTCCAATCAGCTCCTTGTCGTTTAAAACTTACGTACTATGAAGCTTAGGGCTTGGGTTAAAGGTGTAGTCCAGCGAGTTAAGATGTCGGATTGAGCATCAAGGTACTGTGAAGCTTCTTTTGCACAGGTTTCATACGATTTTAAGTAAATGTGTTACGGGCGTGTTGTACAATCTAAGCGTCCGACCAGATTTTAGGAAGGGTTCGAGGGTACATCATGTTGCTACAAATACAAAAAACCGAAGAGCTGTAGATAAAGACATAAGTACCAACCGGTTCGGCCTCTCTGAGAGGTCTACGCCCTAAAACGAGGGCTCACGGGGGGCCTTAGGATTAAGGGGCCTGAGGTCGAAGGCTCGATCGCGCGGAGATCAGGGCACCCAGAGAGCCGAAGACCCCTTAATTAAGGAATATGGCTTAAGGCCTAGGGGTTCCTTAAAGGGATCTATAAGGGCTCTATAAGGGAATTAAGGAATATGGCTTAAGTTATGCAGGGTTTCATGTTATGATTTAAGCTATATTCCTTCTTTAAGGGGTAATGGGCTCTCTGGGTAGTCCAGGTTTAAGGATTTCCGGGTGTCGGGCTAGGGAGGGCTTTCGAGATTTAGACTTTTTGGGCTTTGCTGGCTTTGGGGTTTAGCGTGTTCAGGGGCTAGGGTTTAGGGTCTAGGGTATTATTTCAGGGTTTAGGGTTTAGGACTTTCAGGATTGAGGGTTTGAGGTCTTGCTTGCTTCCTTCTTGGCCAAGGTTCGGTGGGCTCAACAAACCCCTCGACCCTGGAACCTCAAAGAGTGGCCGTGACTTGACCAGACCCGAATACTCTAGATTCGAAACCGCAAAATCAAAGCCATAACCCATCATAACCCTAAACCCTAAACCCTAAATCCTAAACCCTAAACCCTAAACCGATAAGCTTGATGCCCGAACCCGAAAGCCGGACAATCATCCGAGAAAGCTGTGTGAAACCCTTGTACTCATCAAGCGCTTCCAAGAAACACATGCCGTATAGGTACAATAAAGCACACGGTGCTGGGAGGCTCAGGTGCTATAGCAAGTAGTGCGAATTCAGGGTTATAAATAGGACCTAGGGCAACCCGAGTTTTGCTTTTCACAGACTAAGGTGGCTGCGGCTCAAGAAAGCACAGCCCGCCTGCAGCCAAACGTTGTAAGCCTCCGGGGACTGTAGCACCTGATCAGGAGTGCTTCAGACATCTGGGTGGTTGTCAACATTAGGGTCCCTTTTTGGGTCCATAATATAGTACGGCACCTAATATCTAGGGTGCCCAAAAAGGGGCCATAATTTTCACAACTACCTATCTGAAAAATCTAAGGCGCAGTTGCGGGACCAGGCCTCCGGCTTTAAACTCAAGCCGATGTGCAGGGCTTCGGGTGCAGGGTTAAGGGAGCTACTCTTTCACACAAAGTGCGTGCGTTGAGGGTTTTGGGTCAACAAAATCAAGCTCAGGTTCTTGGAGTTGTCATGGACTAGATGACCCTCACGGTTTCGGGCTTGGATTTTCCCGAGCGTGCCTTGAATGTATGCCAGCACTTCGAGGATTTTCTACGTCTCATGTTACGTTTTAGGGCTTTAGTGTTTAAATTGGGCTGAACCCACACCCCAAACTCTTCCCCGAAAACCCTATTCTAAATTTCCTCTACGGTACCATGGTTGCTCCAGATAGAGGGGCCTGAGCATTGGAACAGGCTTCGGCGTTAATTATATGGGGATTTAGTCTCACCCTCGAATCCATGTTACTTGTAACCGCTGCAAACGCAGCCCTTATGAAACCATACAACCCCGTACACCTGAAACCCTTGCGACACCTCCTAAACCCTAAACCCTCAACCCTTGAAACCCTGAACCCTGAACCCTAAACCCTAAACCCTGAACCCTGAACCCTAAACCCTAAACCCTGAACCCTGAACCCTAAACCCTAAACCCTGAACCCTGAACCCTAAACCCTAAACCCTAAACCCCAAACGCGGCGCCTCCTGGCGCTTCTTGAAACCCTGGGCAAAGGTCGCCAACGCCAGGCTCAGACTGGCAAAGGCGCCCCCCGGAGCGGAGCAGTTTAGGGTTTAGGAGTTTAGGGTTTAGGTTTTAAGGTTTAGGGTTTAGGGTTTAGGGTTTAGGGTTTAAGGTTTAGGGTTTAAGGTTTAGGGTTTAGGGCAAACGGTGGGTTTTTGTTTTGCCTAGGGCTGTAGAGCTTTGGGGTTTAAGATGTTAAGGTTTTGGGGCATAATTAGGTGCTAGGGTGTTAAGGTGCGTGTGAGGGTGCTAGGGTGCTACGGGGGGCATAGGGATTTTAGGGCTCCAGGTGAAGTCCAAAAATACGGTGGGTCTTGGTTCGCTCCGAGGGTCCAAACCCTGCAAACCGTAGGTTATGAACGCGTCCGTGCATTAGCCACAGGTAAGGTCCTGAGTTAAGAAAACCGAAACCCTGAACCTTAAACCCCTAAACCCTCTGAAGCCTACACAGGGCTCCATGTCAGATCAAAACCCACGGTGACCTTCTAATTGCATGCCTTGTGTACCGTCACCGTCATTGCCTCGAGCACTGCTATGCCTGGGACGCTGTCCATGAAGCGAGGAAACCGAAAATCGAAAAAGGGAACCAGAATTCAGAGTCGAGGCAATCGGTGAGCTTCCCGTCCGAAGAAGTTAATAACGGTGACGAGTGCGTAGGCTTACCCCACGGTGGTTTGTTCACACGAGTCTCAGCTGCTGCAAGTGGCGGGGACAGGTGCTACGTGCCATCGATGAAGCTGAAAACCGAATTAGGGATAGCCGTGTCCTTATAATCAGCAGCAGTAGATGCCTGTAGGACCCCAGTCAATCCCCTGCTCGCACATCACGCCGTCCAGACGGGGCAGGGTCTCGCACTCTGCCGAGAGTGGCTGCAGAGCGGGTGCCAGGTCCAAGTAAAACGTTGTAAAACTGGTGCAAAGCCTCCCTGCTCTGCGGGCCCAGTTGACTGGCAGCCAAACGTGCCAGCAGAATGCCGAACAGTCCCTCGATATTCTTACACCGAAACTCGAGGTTCTGCTGCATCTTGAGCTAGTCGGACATGCGCTCCCACGTCCATGGATCTATGGTTACCTTCGTAGCTTGGTACCTGCGTAGTTTCCCGGTTGGGTGTTAGGTTTTACTTGCCCGAAGGGTCCAAGTAGAACACAAAGTCTTTTGGGTATGGCAGTTCAGAAGCTCAGCCCAAGAATCTTCCACACCCCTTTTCAGAATTATAGGATAATATACCCCAAAACCCGATGCTAATTATTGCAGGCCCCAGACTCCCAAAAACATGCCCGGGCCACGAAACGCCAGCGCCTAGGCCGCCAGGACCCTGTGCCGCGTTTCGCGCAGGTCCTGGATGAGGGCTGCGGACTGTAAAGGTGGAATACAGAACAACCTCAGCAACTGAGACTAACAAATGCAAAGACACGTGTCGGCAAGAAGCTATGACTAGCTTCTTGAGCCCCCTAAACCCGAAATCGAAAGAAACTCTGAACCCTTAAGCTCCTAAAAGAACACTATTCCCTTTTAAAAGAAGCCTTTATAGTACCCTTTGAAGGGCTTGAACTGAAACCTTCCGAAGTCGAAAGGCTGCAGCGGGACCTCGCTTTGCGAAGGCCCGCCGCGACTCCGTGTAGGCGATCTCAGAGCACAGTCTCCTTCCGTCTGCTTTTTAAGGGCTCCTTTAAAAGGTACTATGAAGGGTGGGGGGTTCCTTAAGGGCTACTATAACGGAGGGGTCCTTTAATGGTGCTAGAAGGGAGGGTTCCTTTCAGGGTTTTAAGCTTCCTTTAATGTTTTAGGGTTTTCTATAGAATACACCAAAACCGTTAAGCCATGAGCGGTCGCGCTAACCTTTTACTCAGAGGGCTTGAGCATGATAGTCACGTCATAGTATACACAACATGATGACTGTACACGACCATACAAACTCCTACGCAAGCTGCGATGCAAAACTACACCCCCCTCACCTAAAGGCACGGTCACTGCATTCAAAAACACAACATACCTTCGCCTGCAGGTGGAAGAGCGCTTCGGCTCGGAGTTTGACGATCGGCGTGGAGTTGCCTCCCGCGTCATCAGTTGTTTCAGCAAAAGTACATGTGACTACCGAGTGCCTCGAGGAAGGGTGCGAAAACTGCATGCGAGCTTTTCTTCAAATGCAAGACGCTGGTTTCAGCGTGGAGCAAGGACGATAGGAGTTCGCCGCACAGCCACTTGAAAAATATCACAGGCCGGGTGAACATCCCTCTTGCTCGAAAGAATCAGACTACTGGGTCGGCTCATCAGTTCCAACGCCATCCGCGATTGCGCCACTCACGCCAGTCCTGGTTATCCCAGTTCTGGCCGCGCCATGATCCCCAGGATGACGAAGACCAATTCTGCCACCAGGATTGATTATCCCAGTCCCAGTCGCGGTTGGTGCGATCGGCGGCCTCGGCGTTAGCCGGGCTTTTGCCTTTTCCCTTCTCTGCTGCTCGGGCATATGTAGAGCCCTTGCCACCACCTGGCGGATGCTGCTGGGCATACTTCGGCTGGGCAGCACGACTTTGATTGGCCTTTTTGATGGTTTCATCAACCGTCTCCACCATGAAGGGTAGGTCCTTTGCCAAAACGGTCTGCAGGTCCGTACCCACTGCAGCGGGATCGTAGTTGAGGAGATCCACCTTGCCGTGGCCAAAAGTCTGTAGACGGATGCCCCCCTTTTGCCTGGCGATGTTGTGAGCGAAATCTTGGAACGAAAGGATGGCTCCGTACCATGTAAATGCTACTGGCGTATCCTCCGGCGTGGACGTTAGTCCCGCTGCGCACAACTTACCGCCAATGCCATCGTCTCCGGTAAAGAAAACGATACGACACTCTGGAACCTCGTCCGTGCGGATCTGGTGCGTGGAACTCGCCGCTCTGGAGGATCCAATAGCCAGCATGCGTTGCGATCGAGTGCGGCCAGGGTTCGGAAGGTAGGCGAAGCAGAGGCAGTCGAGGGCACGGATCGTTCTGCGTGTGTATCCCTCTTTGGCCATTGAAATTGCGTATTCATTGTCATGATTGAACCTCGCCACGCAATCAGTGTAGCCCTTTTTCACGGCTCTCTGCTTTGCCACTTTGGCTTTCCGAATAACCTCGCCTTCTAAGGAGTTCATGCCACGGCCGGCGACATCTTTCGATGCGCTTTGAAGGCTTGGCCTCACTCCCACTCGTTCAGCGGCATCACCCATCTCCTGAAGCAGAGCTTCACGCCCACGTGCCAACAGCGTCCGTCTGCCCTGTGCCTTCAATTGACCTGGTCGAACTGGCCCTCCGCATTGAGAGCAAATCCTTTGGCCTTGAAGACACTCAGCTTTGCAGTGGTAGCATTTGATTTTCTCCAAAAACGCGGCGGATGGCTTGGTCTCACTACCAGCATAAAGTACTGGTTCTGGCCTTCCCACCGGCTCCTGGATTGCTTCAACTGGTGTACCCTCAGCATCCAGCGTCACCGTTGTCGCCATTCCGTCACCGATGTACACAGTCCTGATTGGAGGACCCGGCTGTGCAATGATGGTGCCTGGTTCAACAAGCGGCCTCTCCTCTACGGAGGGCATTTGCTCATCATCAGGAGCTTCATCGTCGTCAGCCTTTGCAGGGGCATCGGTGATAGCCAACGATCCCTCAAGCACATCAGCGACATCTGGAATGGGCGGTAGGGATGTTTCCTCAGCTGGAAGGGTACCATGTTCTTCATCAATAGGCGGTGCGAAATTGTCCTGAGTCGTCTCCTCAGGCTCGGGTTCATCAAGAACGATATCGATGCCGGCCTCAGCGTTAGCTGGGCTTTCACCTTGTTCCGTCTCATCAGGAGGGACAGCGCCTCCCGCACGGGACCAAAGTACGACATCGCGTTGCGTGTCATTGATGAACAAGATGGTCGAGCCGGGCACTGCCTCGGAGCACAGTATGCCATCAGATTCCGTAAGGAATAGGTCGCAACCAGCTTCGAGGACCTCCCGGGTGTCGAAGACGATCTCAATTGGTGCACTTGCACGGAGTCCTGAACGTACCTTTTGCTCTTCGAGCGGCAGCGGCGCAAAATAACAATGCGCCTTCTCAGAACCTCCAAAACCAGGCAACAAACGATCTTCCAGAATCGCATACGCCGCATCATGTGTTGTGCGATGATAGAGTCTGGGCGGCGCCTTATCAATCGGGATCAACGGCCTGCCCTCTCGGGCGGCATTAGCCAGCTCTTCAGAACGCTGCAGTGTAAGATATGCCTTTGCAATAGAGGCATTGTCGAGCTGCAGATTGCTGGAGTGGCCTTGCGTACAACCGACGTAGACCGGAAAGGCCGGTTGGCCAATTGCATCGGCAGCACTGTCCATTGGTCCGCGAAACATAAGTCATGAAGGCTGCAACTCCCCCCCTCCAGACTCCCCCCCCTTTTCTAGCTAGTGCGATTCCTTGAACCCCTTGCTTCACAATTCATCTTTTCCGCAGCCATGCTTCAGGGGCTGCACAGCGATATCCAGAAATGAGTTGCATAACCACGCAGCACCCCAAACGTATCCAAGATGGTTGTTTTACACTGGGCCGGAGGCCTGACCTGCAGAATCAGGGATTTCGGTCGGGCAGGACGAACAACATTGCCCGGGACTAGGACATGCCCTGGCTTAGCCAGAGACTCATTTTCGTTTCGCGCTGCGGCACGAGCCCAACGCCCCGCCTTCGGAGGAACGCATCTCAATGGGAGGCATGCTTGGTTGAGAAGTGCGAAGACTGGGAGCCTGTGTCGGGCTCAGGGTGGGTCGAGGGTGCTGGGTGCCAAACTGGCAGGGTGGAGGGGGGGGGAGTCCAAATTGCTGGCAGGGACAGTGTTCTGGACTCCCCCCCCCTGTTTGGCCAAAACAGGGGGGGGAGTCCAGAACACTGTCCCTGCCACCAATTTGGACTCCCCCCCCCACCCCCTGCTTTTCGCACAAAGAACCTCACCGACCTCAAAAAGCAGCAAACATACCGCTCTGCCTCTAAAGTCGGAAAATCATCTCTACCGTTTGCGTGCGCCGGTGGAATGTGCACAGCCGATCGAAAAGTACAATGTACAGCCTGCATGTGTTCAGCATGTTTGCACCTGCCGCGTGAACGGAAATGGTGGCAAGCTGGCATCTGGATCTGGAGACATCTGGTGTGCAGAGTGAACAGACTCGTGATGATTTTCGTTTGCAGGCGTAGTGTCGAAAGTCTGAAATACAATCAGAACTCGCCAAAAACATCCGAGACTGCTTTGATTGATGCAGGTCCAACTTATGCACTTTTGTGCGGCAGTGCTTGTCCACAATACTTAAGCTTGATTTTAAGCCTAATTAAGCCTAATTAGTGTCACGCAAGATTTCTTGATTTAGCCCTAAATAGCCTTAAATAGCCCTAACTAGCCCTTATTAAGCCTAAACAAGATTATTTGTTGGATTCTGGAACACAGCGTCGAGGTAGGATTTAGGGGGGGAGTTCAGGGGGGAGGTGTTCGGGCATTCATGAATAAGGCGCTGTTTGTTGTCGGTGGCGATCATGTCGAGGAGGCTTCCTAAACCAATGTCGCTTCCAGGTCTGCATCGATTAGCAACCTCAAGCACTTCCATGGCTAGTACCCATGGCCCGCTCCACGATCGCATTTTAAATTGATTACCCTTGTTTTCGAAGTTGCCTCTGATCAGACCAGTGACAAATGTGACCATCTTGTGGTCACATCTGGGGTAGTGTAGGCCTGGCGTCATGTCTTTTTGGAACACTTCGATGTACTGGTCGGCCTCCTCTTGCGAGGGGCATTCGTTCCAGTAATCATACAGGGTAATGCCAGTCATCTCGGCGAAGTCGTAGGTGTCATTCATGAACCTCATTCCGCGCGATCCCTGCACTGCGAGCTTGGTCAATCGCTGCTTGTCGGCCTCAGCCTTTGCGAGGCGAGCTCTTTTTGCAGCGTGCTCGGTGCCAGAGTCGCCAGACAGAATGCCTCCACCATAAATGGATGCGTCGATCGGCATTGGTCGAATATCGCCAGAAGATGAAGCCGCAGTACTCGCCGGGGTAACGGCCTCCACCTTAGGTGGGGCTTTGTTCCATTCCGGCGAATTGATCTCCTCTTCTGTTGCGAAAACACCGGGCGCGACGCTGATGACATTCTGAATCTTCATCTCCTTGAGGAAGTCGGGGACCTCAGGCGCAGGCAGTTCGGCGTGACTTTCGTCACGCTTCTCCTCCCAGTATGCGTCGTCCCACGGATCCTCCTCCGTTGGCTCCGCTTTGACCTGCTTGCTTCTCGTCATCCTCGCAAGAGCCGCTTGCAGGACATGGTTATCAACTGCGTAGCGACCACGGGAATCAAAATAATTTTCCGCAAGCAGCGATTGGAAGGCGGCTTCGCCCATTTTCGCTATTGCTCTGGAGGCGTAGCGCTCGGCGATCTCGATCTGCATGATGTGGGCTAAACCCGAAACCATCTTGCGGCGGGATTCGCTGTCCTCGCGGAAATGGACGTTGTCATTGTAGAGTGCCAAATCTCCAAGGAAGGGGTGGATGTCACAGGCGGCGAGTCCTCTACGGACCGCTTCGTCCTTGAATCGCGCAATGCATTCATCGAACTGCTTTGGCAACCCGTAGACGAAGCTGCGAATTCCTGTGCAGATCACAATGGACCCCACATATGGAGAACGGCGCTGCAGGTCTGCAAGCGCTTCAAGGTTTTGGCAAACTCTCCGACAGATCTTTTGCCAATCTCCGCGGGCCTCTATGGGCGATTGATGGTCCCACCACGTCGGGACGCCGGGGCTGCAAAATATCCCGTATCTGCCGACGATCTCATTCGCCATCCAGACAATCTGCACGTCCACCAGCAACTCTTGGTCGCCAGAGTAGCGCAGAGCCGTCTGGTCACAGAGGATCTGAGCCCTCTCCCGAAGTTCGGACAATGTTTTGCCCCACAGGGGTTCGTAAATTATCTCCCTGTATTGCAGATAGACCCCCGAGCTCGCTGCCTTCAAATCCGAGGAAAGGTCTGTCCTCGTTCTCTTGCCAGCAACGAAAACAGTCGTAGAGTCGGAGAGGAGGATGAGCACCCGCTTTCGGCCTCGATTTTCATCGGGCTTTAGCTGCGACATGCCAGACTGCGTCAGTGCTGCCACTCGGTTGAGCCCAGGATATCGATCCGTTTCAAAGCAGTTGTGAGCAGCCACTTGCACCGGCATGTACTGAAAAAGTGCTCGCAACTCTCCTTCGTCAATCGACTCTTGGAAGCCTATCGACTCGTGACTGATGACGGCCGCCCAAAGCTGGCGGCCCCAAAAATCGGCCAACTGCTCTTCGTAGGTCGCCATCGCTCTTCTACTCTCAGCTGCTACCACGGGACTAGGACCCGGCCTCAGCGTTAGCTGGGCTTTAGTTGTACAGTAAAGCGATGACAAAGCTGCGCATGCCAATCCTTCATGTACCTTAGGTCCATCATTGTCCTTAGTAGTATGCACTTGCCAATCAGCATGCAATGCCGAAACCTTGGTTTTCGATGTCCTTAGTCGTCCACAGTCCTGGGTAGCTTCGAGCAGCAGCCGCTTCAATCGAAAAGACGATGCAAAGATCAGCGACCCGCTCTTGTGTTTCTCAAGACCGAAATCGTGTGCCAACTTAACAACAGCAGGCATACACCACATCTCGTTGTTAGCTGAAGCTTCCAACAGCAGGTGGGGCCTAAGACGTTTGGTTAATCGGCACAACGACATCAACGATTTCAGACATTTGTTCCATTCGTGGTCCGGCAGCGATGCAAAGTAGAGAATCGGTTTAGTGCTTCCCCCCTCGTCGCAGAGGGCACGAAGATTGTTAGCGATTTTTGACATAGCTTTCGGATTCATGGTTTCAAGTTTGTTCGGGACAGGGATAACACGACAGGAATCATTTCCTGACAAGGTGGTTTCACTAGCGTTCCCAAAGTCAAGCAAAACCCTGTAAAAGTCCATCGGCCTCGGCGCGAGCCGGGCGTCTGCAGGAGCGGCCGCCGCAGACCCGAGCCTAAAGCCGTGTTTGTTGAGGGTTTCAAGATCAGTTGTGGAAAGCTTGGGAAAACCACGAGAGGTATACGCGGTGATAGAAAAACGTTTTCCGGTATAAGGCAACACGCAGTGTTTCTTGGCTGGGTCAAAGACAAAAGGTTTGCAATGGGTGTCATGCACATCCCCTTTGATGGAACGTCCTTGAGCGTCTTTCTGGAACTGCGCCTTAGTATCCGAAACAGTCTGATCTTCAACCCACAATCCACCTCCTTTGTGGTCGCCAAAGCTAACCATCAGGTTCTTAGAACCCTTTAAGTTATGGGAATCAGCATGAACTTTTGCCATGTTGTCCTTGCTAATCACCACTGAGGTCCATGTGAAACCTGAGTCGGGAGAATGAGCTTTCACGAACTCATTCAAGTACCTGGCAACTGCGGGATACCTAGTGGTGCTTCTGGTAACACCTTGCATTCCACCGTGTGTCCAAGTTCCGTACACTTGATAATAGCCTTGTTTCTTTGATGCAATGCGAGGTCGCTTGGATTTCTTAGCTGTATGATTTGATGCAATCTCTTCACACAACCTTTCCAAAGCATCACAGCCGTACTCCTTCAGGCGGGAAAGTTCTGAAGCAACCATCTCAACCTCCTGAATGGCAGCAGCTGCTTTAGCACGTTTGCCTTGAACCTCGTGTGGTGTAGGAGAGCGGCCTGGCTTTTCAGCCGGCTTCGCATTCTGCGCATCAGGTACATGATTGATGAGCCTAAGCGCGTGTTCCCACTTACCACGTTCAGCAAACGGTTTTGTGAAGATGTCTGCGACCTGTTCTTTGGTATCAACGTTGATCATGTTGAAATGGCCCTTTTCGAACTGTTGCTTCATCCATGCAAACGAAAGTCGTTGCGTCCTATCGGTGTGACGAAGCTTTTCACTGTCACCTTTCGCAATGATGGTGATTGTAGCTTGGTTATCTTCTAAGAACTGAACCTGAAACTTTTCAGAAAGATGAACATCCAAGCCATTTATATCCGCGACAGAGCGTCCTTCATGACTGAGTTCACCATACCTGATTTCATCAAGCTCCGGGTCAATCCTTGCAACGATTGTTTCCGTGACTTTAGGTGATTCCGCCGGCGGCCTGGTCTTTCGACCGGCTGCATTAGCGGTAACCTCTCCCCAAAGGTAACACCACAAGCTTAAGCTAGGCAGGCCTTGTGCTCTGATGCCGTGATTCGCTGAAACTACTTCACTTTCGGTGCTAGACGTCGTGATGCTGGTCTGTTTCTTTGAAAAAGCGTTCAACGGGTAGTAAGTGTTGGGCCCAACCAAGAACAGTGCGCATCCTGATGTGGATTTGGAATCAAATTCTCCTGCCCAATCGGCGTCACAGAAGAGCCACAACTTACAGTCCGAAATCTTATCGCCAATAAAACCCTGCATCGTGATGTCCAAGCTCGAATTAATGTAGCAGATCAGCCGATGTAAACCGACATCGCAGTCTCTTGACCACTTCGTGACCCTAGAAGCGAGCGACTGGGTACACCGAAGTAAGTCCCACCTTGCCATTCTTGCTGCAAACAATACCTTCATGAGGACCCGACTGGCAATCGGTTGCAACCTCCCCTGGGGTTCGTTGCCTTCCACAGGTTTGGCTACTCTGTTCTCATGAAACGGCGTAGCTGCAAACTTCAGGGAATCACGTGAAACTTTAGCTAATTCACAGTACTTGTCGACACAGGAGACCAGGAAGTCCTTCATGTCATACGTCACAACGTTGACAGGCTTAGTCATAGCGGGGACGGGTTCCTTGATGATCGTATCAGTGCTCTTAAATCTAGACTGCTTAGCTTCGCGCTTAGCGTCTGATTTGCTTCTCATCGGCCTGCCCTTTCGGGCGGCAGCAGCGAGCTTAAAGTCGTCTGCCGTCGTTGGCATGATAGAGAAGATTGTTTTGCCCGTCCACCACTCGTTTCGCCTAGCAGGGCCCCCCTGATTGGAATCATCCTGTATCTGATCTCCATTCTCAAACTCTGTTATGCGTTCAGTTCCCAGAGTGGGAAACTGTCTCATGTCGTCTTCACTTGGTACGTACAAACGCTTTCTGGGGTACCTGTGATGTCTGATTGCAAGCGCAGCATCCGGATCAACCTCCCAATAATCTTCTGTTCTACTCGGCCTGGAGTTTCCTCCGGCTGCTGGTGCTGCAATTTTCTTATCGAAGACATAAGCAAAAGGATGTGCGCTGCGGTCAAGCATAACACCGTTCTGCTCTCGATGATTGCAACCAAAGTATCTCCCAAATGGTTCCGAAGGATCCATATCCAAAACCTTCCCAATCCCCTCCCATCCCTTAGCAAGATTGTCCTTTGGTCCTGCCATTTTGAAATCGTCGACGTAGACGACGAGGAGGAGATCTAATTCCGGATGGTAAAAGATACTTTGCCATATATCTGGAAGAACCGGGATCCACCCTATGCTCTTCAACTGAGCAGTGCAGTGTCGTTCCCAGATGCCGCCGCTATCAGGATGTCCATACAAAGCGAGTCTGAGAGGACAAACTGGGTCGCGAAAGTTGCGCCACTCGGGCGGTCGACGATTCTTGGGAAGTCGAACCCAAGTCGCAATCCCTTTGAACAAAGCTTGAGTATACGCTTGTCGAGCATCAGCTTGCTGTTTTGCATAGCCTGGTTGGCTTCCGAATACATCGATGATTTTACCCGCTTCCATACTTGCAGGGCTAGAGCCCAGTTCGGCGAAGATCGCGTGATCCGCATTTTCATCTCGAACCTGGTTCCCCTGGAACACAGAGCGTCCCTTGTAGTACTTAAGCGGATTACCATCCTGCAACTCGGAACCCTTAAGGCTGCAAATCTCGAACACGTTCCCGAAGTGAGCCTTTTCGCCTTTTGCCTTGGTTTCAGACAAGACGTCGTCGTACTCACGAACCTGTTTCTCGAGCCAACACCCTTTATCAAGAAGTTTCTTCCATTCTTTGTCCATAGCAGCCTGAGCCTCAGGGTTTCTGGCAACATCATTCTGATTGATAAGCTTGGCAACCACAGCGAAAAGACCCTCGCAAGTTTCCTCAAGCTTATCCAGAAATAAACCGTGCAACCTCTTCCCATCCTCAGGCGTCCTCGGTCGATGAGGTTCTCGATGTCCAAGGAGAACAGGCATAGCGGGAGCTTCTTTCTCTCGTTCTTCTTTTAATCTAGCTTCCTCCCGCGCAACCTTCTTCTCCCATCGTTCGATTTCCTCTTTTCGTTGTTGTGCGGAATACATGTGCCAGAATTCAGACGGGACATCAGGAGGTCTTTTGGAGCCTTTCTTGTTCCTCACAAGTCTAACCCCATCCCAATTGTAACCAGCAGGAACCGGTCTACCATCAGGATATTTTGTGGGATCAAACAGATCACCTTTGGAACTAGACGATGGCTCACTGGGCCTAGGCGCGGCCTCACCTTTCGGTGGGCTTTGATCGTCATCGGGTTCGGGTTCGGATAAGCCGATTTCATCAAGAAGCTCGCCTGCCTCACGAAGTCCCCGTTCCTTTTCTTCATCTGAAGCATGAATGTTCTGATCATCCAACAGTGGAACCTCGTGTGCCTCGCGATCCTTGATCCTTCCCGATTGAAGTGGGAACTCAAAACTTCCCTCAATCAACTCAACGCGCTTAGCCCTGATGACCTTGAGGTTTCCGTCCTCAATGGCAAACTGTGCGTCTTTCACGGGTGCAATCAAATACTCCTTCTTCCAAACAAACCCTGGTTGGATATGGTATCCCAGGAAGATCCCTTCAACCCCAGTTGACGAAAACTTGGAAGTCTCCGGAACATTCTGTTTAGGGTTATGCCAATACAAGACCTTAGCTCCGAAAGGAACAATCAATCCCGCAAAGGACTCCCCAAAGCGTGCCTCCCATGGGATTTCACCAGTATCCACTCGTTTTGTGAGATTGAGCGCAATGGAGTGGTGCTGAGCTGCTAAAGGCCAAAACCGTTCTGGAAGACCGGCTTGCTCCAAGTTCGAGCGCGTACCCTCTAGTACGGTGCGGATTTCCCGTTCGATGACGGCCTTAGTTTCATCCACGTACTCTCTAGAGGTGTTGTGCCTACATCGGAGTTCCTTCACAGCTGCTCCCAACTCCGGCGCGTTGTCAGAGTAAATAACCCCAACTTCGTCTTGCGTACCGAAAAAGTGCAGAAGGTCCTCATGCACTTGTTCCGATGATTTTGTTGCGCTAGGATACACATACCTAAATTGCGAAAACACATCTTTGATAACAAGCGCCACCCTCTCATCCTGAAATCCAAAGTCCCTCAGATCTCTTGTCACGAGATGATCAATAGTAACATGATCCCCATACTTTTCACTGTGTATGGTCGAAGACCCCCCCTTTCTTCGAGCTTGGGGAGATAGCATCTTCGCCTTTTGGCACACTTTGCAGAATGGGTTCTTAGGACGATGGCAGAATTGATGATGGATGCTTTCGGCCTCGGCGCGAAGCCGGGCTTCTTGCGAGATTTCCTTTCCCTCATCTTCTTCCTTGTCACTATCGGGCTCGATTAAGGGGTCGTCCTCGGGTCTTTTGAAAGCAGTAATCGACAGAATTGGCGATCCATCAATCTTTTGATTTTTAACCCTTAGACTTCTGATGTCAACAGAATCCTCAATCTTGCTCCAAGCAGAGTCCTTGTAGATCCAAGTGGTCCTTAGCACGAACCTTGGATGACGAGGTGCAGGTACTCGCAAAGCCTTTGGCCGATGACCAATAATGATCTTTGATGCGGCAATTTCACTGCTAGTGATCCAACCTGGCTTGGCTAAATCTTTAGGCTTGATTGCAATTGGCGGTGCAGAATTGATTGCTTCTTCTATCTCGGAGTCGCTGTGGACGACTCTTTCATCCCCGGCCGGTCCTCTCGGACGGCTTTCTACTGGAAACCCGAAGACTCGTCCTCCGCAGGTGCCGCCAGTTCAACCTTGACTGTACCGGCGTTAAACACCTGAGTTCCAGCAGATTTCTGGGAATCATCAGCGCTTGCTGGGCTCGCTACCGAGTCATCATTTGAGATCACTGGGACTCTACCCTTCATCTTACACTTGATGACTTTACCATCGGGAGCTATAAAGTATGGAACCTTGCCCGCAGGCCAATGGAAATCATATCCATCGTCCATGCATCTTCTCCCAACAGAACAAACCGGTGGCGTGCTTTCCAGTAGATAGCACTCAATGTTTTGCTTCAGTTCAGGCATCGGGATGTTGGTTGATTTGATTCCCTGAACTGGACCATTAGCTGTAATCAAGTTGACCGGCCTACTAGCGTTTTCGATGGGAGCCTCTGGGTAGTAGATAGAGTGATCGTGCCTACTGATCAGATCTTCTTCACTGCCAGTATCGGCGAGGAATTCTAGTCCCGCATTAAAGCTAGAGCATGCTGTTCTTTCCACACTAGAACACAGCTCGCACTTCAACACTGCAACTGGGATCTCACCCTCTTCGCAGTCATCTGTGCACTCGTACTCACAGTGGCTTTCAATCCCATTGAGCATACAGGACATGATCCTGGCAAGCTCGTTCGCTGTTCTTATGGCCGTGCTTAGGTCCTGAACTGGAGGCTTTGGGCAGCTTTCAGCATCCAAGTAACAAACTTCGAAAGTTCGCGGTTTGGTCCTATGCTTCTTACCCTTACCATCCAATGGAATCTCCCGAATGCTTGGCTTCTCCTTGAACCTTAATTTCTTGAACGTTCCTGAAGCATCACCCTTAACGCCTTGCCCATTGGGCACAGCTGCCAGCGCATACGAAATGCAACAAGCTGCCGTGCGTCCGCCAGACTTTTCCTTGCTCTTGGACCTGCCCCTTTGTTTCTTTTCCTTCTTTGCTTTAGGATCCGGGGTCGGACTCCTAGGCTTTTCATCGTTCTTCGCAGGGGCGGCCTGCTCAGTAGGAGCGGCGTCAGTTGGATTGGGCTTATCTTGATGCAGGAACCTACAGTCTTTGCCTTTGTTGCACTTGCCTTTCTTCCAAAAGGTGCAAATCGCGTTGATCTTCTTTTGAGGCGTTCGATGAGGACTTGGGGATCTTGACTTTGGTTTGTGGAGAAACTTACACTTGTCGCCTCTTGTGCATTTTCCTTTCTGGAAGTCGTAACAAACCTGTGGTGTTTTGGGACTCTGAGATCTGCGGTGTCCGTTGGCTCGATCCTTTGCTGCTTGTTCTGGATTTTGAGCTGCTTCGGGACATGCTTCTTCCACGGCCTCCTCGTGAAGAGGGGCGACGTTCAGATCCGTACGCTGGGGCCCCGTATCTATCGCCATGCGACTTAGCGATGCGGTCACGGTTCTTACGCATCCGTTCTCTAGTTAGATGCTCCCTAATGGCATTGACAAGGAATTCATACGTGTGTACGGGGTTTCCTTCCTTTGCCCTGTCGTACAGCTGAAGATCGTACTTGATGTGGTGGGATTTCCGAATTTCCCTCAGCAAAATGTCCCTCAATGTAACTTCATCCGGAACATGACTCATTCCAGCAATCACCGACTCGAAGTTGTAAAGGAAGGTAGCCAAATCGTCCCCAACCAACTTCACTTTCAAAAGGTCTTCTACGCTATAGAGGCTTCCGACTTCTTCATTAGTCTTAAAGTGTTGATGAAACATCCACAATACTTGTCTTCCCCTGACGGCACGTCCTCCTGTGGCCTCTGTTTCTTTGAAGTTTAGGACTTGCCTTGAAATCTCTCCTCTAGCGACTCTGGTAAGTGCAGCCAACAACTTCGTGTCCAATGTTAAGAATTTCCCAGTGTCATGTAAGGACTTGAGGGTAGCCTCTTTATCATATACTTCCTGCACCCAGCGAAATGCCTCATCCGGGCGATCGCTCGCAGCCCGCACAATCTCGCGGACCGAGATCCGCCACGATCGGTAGGTCTCTGGATTAGGGTAATCGGGAAGCTTGATACTTTCGGCTTCTTTCACCTTTGGTTTGCCCTCTTCATCTTCGGTCTTAGGGGTAAGCAAGCGTGCTGCCCTAATCAATGCCTCAGCTCCGAAATCAACATGTGGAACCCCGTCTGGGTCAACAGTCGCCGGCTTACCCGCTTGGGCAGCTTTAGGAGACTTTTCCTTTTGTGGCTCTCTGTTCTCAAACCCAGGTGGTACAGAAGTTCCTTGCGGAGGTTCCTGAGCTTGCGGCGTTCTTCCGAAGATGTCCTTCATGTTCTCGGGAATCTCAAATGGATTTGAGAACGGGACAGCAGGATTAGGTCCTGGCTTCGGCGTGGCATATTGTTTGCCCGCTTCGTCCGCATTGGCTTCCATTCTTAGGGCTCGTTCTGCGGCAGCCAGTTCATCCTGCAGTCTGTCGTTTTGTGCACTCATTTCAGCGATTTCAGTAATGAAACGCCGTTCCATACTCGCTTCGGTTTCTTCAAGAACTTGTTTGAATCGCATTCCAAGAAAATCAAGATGTTGTGCTTTGTTGCGTTCGCTCTCAGCAATCAGAGTAGTTCTGAGCTTAGCGATTTCCGACTGATGTCGTTGTTGGAAAATTGATTCCAGAATGTTCATTTCATTCCTGCATGTTGCAACTTCGTTCAACAAAAACTTTTCCCTTTGGGATGCGTTGAACTCAAATTCCGCAAACTGTGCTTCGCATTCTGCCATCTTCACCTCATGAAGGCGCTCGGCCTGTTCAGCCATGCCAGCCATTCTCACAAGATTATCATGCGATTGTTGGTTCAGAATGCTTGCGTGTCTTCTTTCAGCATCTGCCTCCGTTCGCTCTATTGCCATTCTTTGTTGTTCGGCTGTTTCACCCTGGTTCACAACATTGTACAAGGTATACTGCACGTTTGAGATGTCGACCGTTGGATTTGAGACAAATGGAGATAGGGTAGGACCCACTGGACCGAAGATCCTATCAAGTGCTTGGGATCCTGAGCTCGGTGCCGTAGGGCCCGCGCCAGCTGCTGTAAGTTGTTCATCAAGCAGTCGATCTCTTGTTTCGTCGTCCATCTCGTCCGATGATACTTCGGTTGTTTCTCCCTTCTCAGTAGTGAGCAGAGAGGGCGAAGTACTCATGTACCAGTGTGAATACCAGTGTAAGAATACCACGGAGACAAAGTCAGCGAATACGGCTGATAACCTATAGAATACACCAAAACCGTTAAGCCATGAGCGGTCGCGCTAACCTTTTACTCAGAGGGCTTGAGCATGATAGTCACGTCATAGTATACACAACATGATGACTGTACACGACCATACAAACACCTACGCAAGCTGCGATGCAAAACTACATTTTCTTAGGCATTTATGTGCTTAGGGTGTCTTTAGTATTTAGGAGTTTGAGGGTTTAGGCCTCCTTTTTTTCGTTTCAGGAATCAGGGTTCCTTTCAGGGTTTAGGGTTTAGGGTCCTTGAAGGGTTGAGGGTGGTTTAGGACTCGGGAGAAACCGAGGAGTTGAGGGTATGGACTGCGTAGGATTTCGGGGTCTAGGCCGTCAGCAGCAGCTAATTTCTTGGGCAGGGCAGGGCAGGGCAAGGGGGGCAGGGCAGGGGGCACTTCCCAGAAAGCCCAATACCCCTTAATTAAGGAAGATGGCTCAAATTATATGATTTCAGCTATATTGGTTAATTAAGGGATATTGGGCTCTCTGGGTTGTTAAATTGATAGTCAAATGGACCCCAAAAAGCCTGTTCTAATCATAATAGTAGAAGGTTTGGGGGGTGTTGGGTTTAAGGGTTTACTCCGGGTGCGGGTTCAGGGTCTCAGCCGCCAGCTGCAAATCTCAACCTCCAGACCCCAAACCACCAAACCCTGAGCCCAAAACTCAGAACTTTGAGCCCTAAAACCCGATTAAAACCCAATTCCCAGCCGAAGCCTGATCCCCTAATCTCGAAATGTCTCCAAATCCCTGATTTCACGCGCAATCCGCAACTCCACGTCCACGAAGACGCAAAATCAAGGATCCCTAGTGCGAAAATTGAGACCTGAACCCCAAGCTTTGTGGAACCCTAGCCACTCTAAACCCTAAACCCTGAAACCTAAACCCTAAAACCCTAAACTCCGAAACCTAAACCCCAAATTACTAAACCCTGAACCCTAAACCCCAAACCCTATAAACCCTAAACCCTACCGACAACCCTAAAACCACTTGGCCTCTCTGCCGCCTCCGCGGCGCTGCGGAGGCCGGCGAACGTCGCCCAGGCGCCGCGGCGCTCGCCCCGGAGGAGGCAGCGGAGGGCTCGGAGGAGGGCGGCCTCTAAGGGCTAAACCTTACTTGGAGGGTCATGGGACTTGGTAAGTAGTAAGGTTCCTTAAAGGGCTCCTTAAAAGGGATCTATAAGGTTCTAAAAGGGATCTACAAGGCTTCTATAAGGGGGATTAGGGTATACTTAGAGGCCCAGGGGACTTAGTAAGTCGGTTATAAGCAGGGTGATAATTGGGGTAACTCCTTTTAGGGTACTTCTAACCCTACTTCTAACCTATACTTACTAAGTCCCCTGGGCCTCTGAGAAAGTTGGAACATCATTTTCTTCATGCCCTTAAGTTTAAGGTAAAGTATCAAGGATCCTAGCACTAATCCTCCAAAAACCATGTTCGAACTTTCTGGCTTCTACTGTACCATAAGGGATACCGTAACCTCCATGTTCGAGCTTTCCGGCTTCTACTGTACTATAAGGGATACCATATAGGGGACACTGTTAGGATATCATAATTAATATGTGGGTTCTGATGTGGTCTCGAGTGATCATCTTGAGGACCTAATGCAGACTCTCCTTCGCACGGTGGAGAATGCCGCTCATGCTTCGACTAGGACTACAGGGATCTATAGGGCTCCTTAAAGGGGTCTACAAGGGATCTATAGTAGGGTTCTATAGTATAGAGGGTTAATATACTAGGATACCCAGTAACCTAAGAATAAGAAGGCGTCTCTTTTTGGTATTGGGTAACTTTAGAAGGAACCTAGGACTACAAAAAGGGAATAAGGGTACTACTGGGCATCCTAGTCGAAGTACCTCCTCGCATTGGAGCTGGTCGGGAAGAGGAAGCAGTGGCCATGCAAAGAGTCAGTGAGAGACCGAAGCAGTCGTTGGAGGCCGGGCCCGCCCCTGATAGAGCTGATTGTTAATCACCTGCGGGTGCGGGGCCTCTGCCCTCACTGGCTGCGCTGCGCCGCCACTGTACCAGGCCTGGGCTGGGGGGTTGTCGAAGACATTCTCCGACTGCGCCAACCGCAAGTTTTCCTTCTCGCACGCAGCCACCACCCGGCGGTAGATTGCGCACGCCGCCTTGCCGCTTCTGATCCTTTCGACGGCCTCGATGAGCTGCGCCCTGGTGTAGGGTGGCCGCCCCTCTCGGGCCAACGAGGCGCACCTCGGGCGACACCAGGCGCCCATGTGGGTTCCTTTTTTCCTCAAACAGCAAAATCAAGCAACCAGGAGAAGTGTAATTTCATGAAGGCCCCTGCCATACACCCTTGCTTATAGTAGCCCTTTAAAGGAGCCCTCTATTTCGAGCCCGCGTCCGACGTCACCCCCCAAAACCCCACACGACCGAGCCCTACCCCAAGAGGAGAGCTGAAACCCTGATCTCTGAAGCGGCTTAAGGTTTATAAGGTTTAGGGTTAAGGATATTTAATGCATTTAAGCTGGGTTTAGGGTTAAGGATATTTAATGCATTTAAGCTGGGTTTAGGGTTAAGGGTATTTAATGCATTTAAGGATTAACTCTGGGTTTAGGGTTAAGGGTATTTTTAGGCGTTTAAGGTTTAGCTCAGGGTTTAGGGTTTAGGGTATTTCAGCCTTAAGGTTTAGGGATTAGGGATGGGGGGCTGCGGTTCAGTTGGGGGAATATCGCACAACACCTGCAGGTCAGTCCGGTGCCGAACCCTTCAAGAATCACAGTGAAACTGCACAAGCACCCCAAATCTCAACAGATCCGAAAACCAAGATCGAACTCTGGAAAGCAGTGCTCCAATATCCCTGAAATTCGGAATATACCTCAAAAGTTATAGTAAGATCCCTAATATGTAGGGTATATATCCCTTAATGGAGGGATAGCAGCACTTCGGGGACCCCGTAAAATTTAACCGTAAAAAAGGGAGCCCTGTAAGAGGAATCCCTAAAGACCCTGAATCCCAAGCCCCGATCAGCCAAACCCTCAACCCTAAACCCTACTATAGGGGCCTTAATAATTAGAATAAGGTCTTGGGGTATCCTATACTATAAACACAATGAGGAACCTTAACAATGATGTAGGTAATTGTTTAGGCTTCTATACCCCAGAAAGTTGGAAACCGAATTAAGGCCAAATAGTGCTGGGATTCCCTATACATTACTCTTAAGCATTGAGGCTGTGGGGTTTCCAACTTTGGGGCTTCTACTATAAACCTCAAAGTAAGGCCGAAACATATAATCACTCTATAGGTACATGGAGCCTGAGGGTATGGGGTACATGGACCCTTGACACTTAAGCGGACCCTGAACCCTAAACCCTACTCTCTGGGAGACAGTCGCGCCCACGAAGATCCCGAGGGCTTCAAGGTTTGGGGTTCGCTGAGGGCTGGAAAGGGGCCCAGAAGGCGGCTAGGTTTCTAGTTAGAGTCCTTTGGGGGTTCTGTATGCCTAAACCCCATGCAAACCCTAAACTCTAAAACCCTAAACCCAGAGCCCTAAAACCCTAAACCCCCAAACCAAAACCCGCCTCCTGCAACTCCCAGACGCCTGCAAAGGCGAGACGGAGACGCGCCGCGCCCACCTAGAGGCTTTTGGCTTTTATCTAACAAAGGTGTAGGGTTTAAGTTGTAAGGTTTAGGGCTTGACTAAGTGTTGCTTCTTGCCTTTTTGGGAGGTTCAGCGTGGCCTGCTACTTCCGGGGTGCATGGGACTCCGAAAAGGCTTTGCAGGGATCTTTCGGACTAGCTTTCAGCAGAGGCTCTTTAGCTCCGGAAGCACGGCTCCGTGTTTTCTGGGCTTTCGGACGGATACTCTATACTCTACGCTAAACCCCATAAAGTTGGAAACCGGATTAAGGCCAAATAGTGCTGGGATGCCCTATACTTTACTCTTACGGCGATGATTTTTAAATACCCGGACATCTAAACAAGTTAAACAGGTGTGTCATACTACTTCCGTGGGCATTGTCTCTGGGCCGCCCAATTTTAAAACACACGGAAAGACAACAACACGAGACTCCAGCCCGCAGACTCCGTTCTTCGCCTCTCCAGCCCTCTTCCCAGCCCTTCAGCCCTCCAGCCCTCCAGCCTTCCAACCCCTCCTGCCATCCAGCCAGCCTTCCAACCTTCCAGCCTTCCAGCAGCCTTCCAGCCTTCCAGTTTCAGCCCCTCCAGCCTTCCAGCCCCTCCAGCCTTCCAGCCTTCCAGCGCCTCCATCCAGCCTTCCAGCCCTGCCTGAGAATGACGCGCTGGAAGGCTGGAAGGCTCGAGGGCTGGAAGGCTGGAAGGCTAGGGCTGGAAGGCTGGAAGGCTGGAAGGCTGGAAGGCTGGAAGGCTGGAAGGCTGGAAGGCTGGAAGGCTGGAAGGCTGGAAGGCTGGAAGGCTGGAAGGCTGGAAGGCTGGAAGGCTGGAAGGCTGGAAGGCTGGAAGGCTGGAAGGCTGGAGGCTGGGAAGGCTGGAGGGCTGGAAGGCTGGAAGGCTGGAGGGCTGGAAGGCTGGAAGGCTGGAGGGTTGGCAGGCTGGAAGGCTGGAGGGCTGGAAGTAAACACCCGGAGCTAAAACATACGGATTAAAACAAGTGTCTCATACTGCCTCTGTTTGGATCTTGGGCTGCCCGCCCCCCACATGTTTTAAAATTCTCACCGTAAGCATTGAGGCTATTGGGTTTCCAACTTTTGGGCTTCTACTCTACATTGGGTGGTTGTCAAAACTATGGTCCCGAATTTGGGGTCCCAAATATAGTACGGCACCTAATATTCAGGATACCCCAACAGGGACCCTAATTCTGACAACCACCTACATGCTCCAAACCTGAAGCCAAGGTCCCGAACCCGCAGAATCCTTCAGCAAGCCTCGAAGTCCAAGCTCTGGAACCCGGAAGCTTCAAGAACTCTTAGGGCTCCCAGAAAAAGGACCCAAACGTAACCTTTTGAGTGGAATATCCCTGCCTCACTGCCTTTGCTTAGAAAGGGGCTGATGGGACACCCTAAACAATAAACCCTAACCCCTAAACCCCTAAAACCTAAACCCTCAACCCAGAACATCCTCACCTTCTGGGTTTCTGTTTAGGTTCCTTTTTGGGTCCCTGAACTCGAAACCTGCGGCCCAGCGGCATGGGACCCGCGCGGAGCTGCCGCCTGGCCCGTCCTCGGACTTCGCAGCTACGCCATGTCGTGTTAGGGGATCCAGACCCAAGGATCTGAAAGAGAGCACGCAAAAAACTACGGCTGAAGATATAAATCTTGGGGTTCCTTTTAAAGAGATCCATAAGGGTACCTTTAATGCTAGGGGATCCAGCCCTGAGGGTTCTGGTTTAAGGTTCAGGGTTGCTTTTGAAGGGATCTTTCAGGGTTCCGTTTAAGGGGATAGGGTTTAGGGTTTTAGGGGACCCTGCAAAAAACCTAAGACCATGAATGGTACTTCGGCCCAAAGCCCTAAGGTAACTCGATGCTGCAAATCTTCAGACTTAAGACTGAAAGCTTCGTGAACCAAGCCTGTCTCACATTGAAGCCGACTGACAGCACACTTGTTGTACAGACCTTGTTGAAACCCAAAAGCGAGTATAATTCATCAACTAGAAACCTTAACCCTGAACACCTTCAGCCCGAAACGCTTAACTTAACCCTAAACCCTACTGCAGGTACTCTAAACCCTAAACCCGCAACCCTAAACCTGCAATCTCTTCTGCTGGGCGGCTGAAGGATCTCCATGAGAGCGGTGCAGAGGCCCCTGGCCTGATTCCAAGCTGGGGTTCCTTTTAATAAGGGTACTTTAGGGTTCTATAATAGGGCTCCTTAAAAAGGGATCTATAGGGGTTCGATAATGGGGATCATGGGACTTAGTAAGTAAGGTTATAAGTACCTTACTTGGGGTTATAAGTATAGTTACCCTAATTATAACCCTAGTTACTAAGTCCCATGATCCTTTAAGTATACCAAAAATCTCTGTCAGATCATATGACTGACTATAATTACAAAATACGAGATAGTGTAGTATGATGAAATATGTAATATCATAGGATATACCATAATACAAAGCATGTAGCAATGCAGTATGATAAAATAGAACACAAAATGCATTATAACACCATGTAACCTAAGATAGATATGATGTAGTCCATCCTTTTTCGGTACATACGGTCTAAGCGAAGCCATATGGAAGTTCTTCTACTGCTTATTGGCCTTACAGGATTTGTAGGGCCGATAACTAACGCTTCTGCGGTGAAACAGACTTGGAGCGAGTAACAGAGGCTTCTAAGCATGCGCATATGTAACAGAATGCATTTCAGAGGCATCGTATCTGCACACATGTGTCTGGTTATGCTCTTATTCCAGTCTCTAAGCCATGCGACCCGGCTACTCAGACGGACGATCTCAGCCTGTCAGTGCCAAAATTACGAGGCCATGGCCTTATCTGGTCGACTCCCTCAATGCTTAGGATCTCGTTTCGACCCAACTGTATCACACCCGAAGAGGCAGCCACTCTACCTCGTGCCGTCGAAGAGATTTGCCAACGACAGTTAAACAGTACAAACTCCCAAATCGAATCATAAGGTATGGCTGATCTCGCCCTAAGCAGTGCGCGGATCTCGTTCCCCAATTCGAGCTAGTTTCGACACCGAAATTACTGCCACCACTGTAGTGTTGCAGGAATACAAGCAGCTGCTCCTATATCTACAGTAACCCTTGAAGGAATCCTCATAATAATTGTAACAATCACCCTGACAGCAACCCGTGTACATAGCCTTATGGTAACCCTTGAAGCTGAAAGGAACCCTTAAAGTCCTTTTTGGGTAACACCCAAGAATACATCCTTTTACGCACAGATCATCCTGACCTGCGCTTCGGAACCCCAAAGACGAAAGCGATTTGAGGAAAGCCCTGCCCCTAAGCCCTAAACCCTAAACACGAAAACCCTAAACGCCTGGGCTTCGACCACCACGTAGAAGTCGGAGGCCAAGGAGCTCAAACCGAGGCCGCCTGCATTGCTGGTCGGGCTTCTGTGAAAGGGGTCCGGGTTTAAGGTCTACATAGCTCCTAGGTTCCTTTTTCCGGGGTCTACAAGGATTACGATAAGGGCTACTTCAAGGGCCTAGTGTAGGGGCCTTAATAATCCGCCGAGGCCACAGGCCCAGGCGTCTTGGGGGGTTAGTTCAGATACCCTCCACCTAATCCTCCTCCCTGCAGTCCACATGTTTGGAGACACCTCCCCCCCCTCCCCCCCCCTCCCACCCCCTCCCCCCCTTGCCTTCCGAGGCAAAAAATGGCGTTTCCGCATTTGGTATCAACAACCGTGTAAAGGTTGGGGTTGAGAGGCCCCCCTAGCATGTATACAACATCGACTGCCCCCTCGCCCTGCCGCTAAAGAGCCGAGGCGGGCGGCGTAGCGTTAAAATTAGAATAGGGCTTTGGGGTATTTTACACTATAATCACAAAGAACGCCACATTAGTATTGGTAATGATTTAGGCCGTGCCTTTTTTATTGACCTATATCAGGAAATCATGATACTGAAAAGGTAGGTTCTTTGGCAGGTCGGGGTCTATGCACATGGTGATACGATTCGTTACCGAGAGAATTGCGAAATAGCCCAACCCAAGCCCTAAATCCCAAAATCCTCAACTTCTCAACTTGGATGCGTAGGGTAACATACCCGCTACTTCTAGAAGGTGTGCAAACCCTGAGGGATTGAATTCTTTTCGCAGATCCCTCGAAAGAGACCCAAACCAAACACAGCACCAAAAGCGACACTCTCTAACCCCTACTTTAGCTTTAGCCACCAACTAATGGAAGTGTGCATATATTGTATTATATATATATATATACAACGAAATCACATGAAGAAAGCTGAAAAGGTAAGCTTCTTGGATTCCTCACACACCTTTTACGGAATCCTTTCAGCACCCCTTTTCAGAAACACAACAGTGGGTTCCAGTGCCCTTCGCGCTTCAGCTCGAACGTACAAGGCACATGGTCATCGACCCTTGCATCTGGAAGCCGAACCCACTGAACCCCGCTGCAGCAATCTGCCCTCAGCCCAAGAAGTGCACATTAATTTTCAGGTTCCCCGTGAAGGAGTTTCTTCTTTCACTTTCGCTTGCCCAACTCAACTCTTACTGCATGACGCTTACCCAAAAGCAGGACACTCCTACTGCGGACGGGCTAAAAATTATCCTGCGCTATCCGTATGAAGGGACACTTACACTAGCACCGACATACTGCACAGTAGGGCTCTATCCTGCGCAGTATCGCCAGGGTTTCTGCAAGCACTCCCGACAAGCCTTTGGGAAGCAGGGGCCAGTGCAGGCTAAATATAATCAGATTCTCATTATACGAACCTCTCAGTAAAGCACCCCTGGCTTGCTGAACCCACAAGCTATGCTGAACCTAGACCCTCAGAAAAAATTGTGATTTCAGCCTTCTCTTAGTCTTAGGAATTACGTATAAGAACAAAAATTAGACAACATTTCCAAGTACCCCCAAGCAAGGAGCATTCAGCTTTTTCTGCCATGGCTGCCGGAGCTAGCTGCTTTGCAGCTGTCAGGCGACGATCGTTAACGGCCGCATCGGACGACGGAGATCTTTGGTCACCCCAACCCCCAAGGCCCAAAACCAATGACAAGAGCATAGAACTACAATACCCATACTCATCATAACAAGAATCATAACAATAACAAACCTGATAAGGATGCCCATTGCCAGAGCTATGGCCTTGATGATGATATTCACAAAAAAAAATAGTACTAGTAATAATACCCTAGGGCGCGCGTAAAGCCCCAAAACACAGAAACTTAAGTCCTTGACGCCGGCCCCGAAACCCTAAACCTTGACCCCAACATTTAAGCCCAAGTCCTAGAACCCCAAGCCCCAAACTCAAACCCTAAACTTCCTAGACCAACGGCCCTGAAACCCTAAACGGTACTGCTTGGAGGCCCAGGGGACTTAGTAAGTAGGTTATGAGTAGGGTTATAAGTACCCTAAAATGGAGTTACCACAATTATAACCCTACATATAACCGACTTACTAAGTCCCCTGGGCCTCCAAGTGGGGGTGGTTACCAAGCAGCTCCGGCACCAGACTGCAAGTTCAAAAGGAAAACTGCGTTCAGCTGGCGGAACCCACGGTCCGAATCCTGTGGCTCCTTTTTAGGATTCCTTTGAGGGAGGGTTTAGGGCTTAGGGTTTAGGAAGGATTTTTCATACGGTCTCTGTACGGATTTAGGACATTAGGGATTCAGGGTGTTGTTGGGGGTTTCGGGCTTTAGATGCTTTGGGAGCTTCAGGCTTTCGAACTTGGGTTGAGCTATCGGAATATACATATTATGGGCTCTGACAAAGCTGAAGGTCCAGGGTTTGGGACTGAAGGTTCAGAGTTTGGGAGATTTGGATTTGGGAACTGGGCTCAAGCTTTAGAAACCCACTAAACCCCCTCTAAACCCCTAGAAGCACTCATGTGACAATAGGACCTTTGATGGATCCCTCAATAATATTACACCCTTGTCCTTTTAGAAATAATAGACAGAGCCCTATATCCCTTAATAGGAATTATTTAAGAAGGTCTACTAGCCGGTCTGTTTATTCTTTTGGGGGAACCATGAAAAAGGACAAGGCTGTCCCTTAAAGAGGACCCGTAAAGGGACGCCTTAGAAGGACTGATTTGGCCTGATAGCCTTACCCTATCTTATCCTTCTAAAGCCCTTCAGGGGACCCCTAGTAGATCCCTTAGAGGACACCCTTAGACTGATCCTTAAGCCCTTCAAGGGACCCTTAGTAGATACCTTAGAGGACACCCTTATTAGGGTTTAGGGTTTAGGGTTTAGGGTTTAGGGGACTCATTTGGCCTGATAGCCCAGCCAGCCGTTTGCCTTGGCTACCGCGAAGCGGTTCGCCCAGTCTTTGCCTTAGCTCGCAGGGATTTAGGGTTTAGGGCTTAGCTTGCTTTAAGGGTCCTCCCTTGAAGGGTTCCTTTAAGGGATCTACAAGGGTTACTATAAGGGTATCATTGGGTTTCAGGGTTTAAAGTTTAGGGTTTCGGGTTCAGGGCTTCGGGGTTTAGGGCTCAGGTGACCTTTGCGAAGACGACAGCGGCGTGGGGCCCCAGAGGAATGATTAGGGTTTTGGGTTTGGGTTTAGGGTTAAGGGTTTAAGTTTAGGAATTAGGGTTTAGGGTTTGGGGTTTTAGGGATTAGGGTTTCGGGTCTAGAGCTTTGGAAGTTTAGCTTCTGAGGGCGGGCGTTTTGCCTTGGGTTGGTTTAGGACTTCCCCCTAGTGTTCATCAAGGAATATTCCTGAGGCCGTTTAGGGTCTAGGATAACGGAATGTTGAATCCCTGTTGGCAAACTTCTATGATTCCACACGTTCGTGTCGGCAATTCACAGTCAATCCGGATCCTCAGGGGCGGGCAGATGGTGTTCCCCTGCGCATCGCACTCTTGGGCGCAAGGATTGCCTGCCACGGGCATCGTATACTACCGTGAATTAATACATTAACCAACTATAGAAAGTGCATGAATTACTATAGTGCTATGACAGATATTACATTATATCATAACATTACTGTCGCGTGGTGGTGAACCCCAAAACCGAAACCCTAGACCCAAGTAACTGACCCTGACCGCCCCCAGGGTCTGAAATCCCTGGAGCAGTAAAGCATGCAGTTAGTCGTCCCCTTGTAGGGTCCCTTGTATATAAGCGTTACTATTTCGGTGACCTAAAATGGGAGCTTCCGAACATAGGGGGACCCTACTATACTACCCTAAATAGTAGGATCCTTACTATAAGGACCCCAAAATCAGGTGCCCCTATTTTCGGAAACCCCCAGATGGGACCCCAATCTAAGGAACTGTTGAACTACCCGCGTCTATAACAGATGGTACGGTGGATGATATAAATCCTGCATTACCTTAAGGACCCTAAACTATGGGAATTATGGTATATTCCTTATTATGGGTCCTGCAGGATTTATATCATCAACCGTAGTGATGATACAGCATCTCACCAGGTTCCAGGTTGGGAGATTCTGGGCTCAACACCCTAGAGTCTGGGTTCAGGGTTTAGGGTTCAGGGTTTAGGGTTTAGGGTTTAGGGTTCAGGGTTTAGGGTTTAGGGTTTAGGGTTTAGGGTTTAGGGTTTCTAAGGAACTTGATGTAAGTTACCATAATAGGATCTATAGACAAAAATGTGGCTTCCTTATTCTGGCAACTTAAGTTAGATCCCTTAACAAGAACCCCAGAAGTCTGCACGCCCAGTCGCCAACTTGTCGCCAACCCGATACCACGGCCGTTCTGGACTTGTTCGGGTTCCGGGGACCCTCCGCGTTTTTTGGGTACACTCCAAGCCTGCTGAAACCCCCTCGACGAAAGCAGAAACACCCCAAACAGAGCAAATCGTGGCCTTCTGCAAGCCCCAAAACCTCCGCCCGAGAACCAAACAAACTCCAAACCAACAAAAAGCAACAAGCCAACTCTTGAAACCCCCAAGGCACGAATGCCGAAACCCCAAACAGACATTCTGACCCCAGCATCCCTAAACCCTAAACCCTACTAAACCCTACTCCGAAACCTTAAAACCCAATCGAGCACTCTCAAAGGAAACCTCACGGGCGAAGCGCTATATGGGAGTTTCCGAAAATGGGGAGTGCCTTCTTTTGGGGATCCTTGAAATAAGGATTCTAGTATTTTGGTAGTATACTGGGGTCCCCTACTTTCGGAAACTCCCATATACACTACCTACAAAAGGACCCAAAAGCCGCAGCGCCTTCGAGGCAGCTGCAACCCTCGCCGCGCGTGGCCGCGGACTTGACGCCGGCGAAGTTCTGCTTCGCCTTCTCCTTCAAAGGACTCCCTAACTAGTGTAAAAAAGACTAGGCTGCAGGGTCTAAGGTTTAAGCTACTTGGAGGATCAAGGGACTTAGCAACTAGGGTTTAAAACCAGGGTAACTGTAGTTATAACTACTTATAACTCTCCTTCAGAGGCTACTTGGAGGATCAAGGGACTCAGCAACTAGGGTTCGAAGGCAGGGCAGCTGTAGTTACAATTTATACTTACTTCTAACTCCAATTCAGAGGCTTGTGATCTTACTAACCCCTAAGACCTGTATTGAAGCTATGATAAAAAATGAATAGAGACCCAGAGATCCCAATACCCCTTAATTAAGGAATAGATCTTAAATCATAATATTCAGGCCTCTATAATTCATGGTATATTTCTAATTAAGGGGCATTGGGTTCTCTGGGGCAAAGGAACCAGCTGACCTATCACATTAGTATAGTACCCTTATAGATCCCTTATAGTAGCCCTTATAGACCCCTTTAAATTGTTATAGTACCCTTAAAGATCCCTTGTAGTAGCCCTTACAGACCCCCTTTAAAGGAACCATCCAGCCCTGCCCTGAGCCCTCAAACGCCCCGCACGGGGTTTCCTGCGACTTGAGGAACTCGGTCCTGGGAGACCCCCCCCCCTCTGTTTTAGAGCGCTGCCCCTTAGGGTCGAGGGTCTGTAGGGTTCCTTTAAAGGGGTCGATAAGGGCTACTAATTATAAGGGATCCATAAGGGTACGATAATACATGTAGGAACCTGATTTAGAAACCTCGGGCCTTTATTCGGGTTAATTATATGAACCCTACTATTTTCGGTGTTATGGGCCCAGGGTTTCTTAATCAGGTTCCTACGTGAAGGTGTAGGGATGTGGGGCTTAAGGTTTAGGTACCTTCGACAGAGCTGTTTCGTTGTCGAGTGTTACTGTGGGGGTTCGAGTGTTAATATAGGGGCCTGCATAACTAGACTTGGGTTCCTTTACAGGGTTCTGTTGAGGGTTATTGGGGCATGCGTAAAGGTTTTGTAGTGTTTTGGTATAGGGGGTTGAATGATTAAACCAAGGTTCTTGTTGATTCGGGGCGTGGGTTCGACAAAGATTTCGGATTTGGAATTCGGGGTTTGATTCGGAGGGTTTATGGTGGAGGACCAATGTAGAAGTTAGGGCCTGGGGTACTTCCGCTCTTCGGCCTCATAGGTGTCAAAAGCAACCACCCATCTTCCATCCATGATCCCACTCTTTGGTGTTTAGTATAATAGAAGGGCCTAAAGAAATACCAATACTCTATAGGTGTCAGCCGGGCACTGGGATCTTTCGCGGACTGCTTGTTGGTTTGGGCTGCGGGGACTACCACTAGATATTTCTTGACTTCAAGGGATAGACGTCAATCTTGGTGAGGGATTCTATGGTCTCGGGGGTTTCAACTGAAAGTGGAAGCCAGAAAGCTGGAAGATAGCTCCTGTGCTTGGCGTCAACATTCAGAACCAAAGCAACGACCCATCTTCAATCCACGATCCAATTCTTTGCTGCTTTGCATAACAGAAAGGCCTAAATCATTACCAATACTTTTTGGGGGTTCCTTACTATATATAACTATAGGATAATATACCCCAAAAGTTAGGGGCAGCATCAGGGATTGAGCCGTGAGAAGGTTAAAGAAAGAAGGAAAACACGCTTAATTTGCAAATGAAGTCAAATGTATCCCTATTATCTACTACCTTAACCCCAAATAACCTGTCTGTTCAAGGGTTTCTACAAGGAGATCATGGTCAAGAACCCGAAACAAGGTATGTTTTACAGGGTCCTACTAAGTCTCCGGATCCTTCAAGCAAGCTCCTTAGGTCTAAGGTTTCGGAGTTTAGGGTTGAGGGTTTAGGTTTTTAGGCTTTGGGCTTTAGGCTTCGAAGTCTACTGCCACAGATATCAGCCGGGTTGCTCATCTTCTTCTACAAAGACCTCAGCCGTTCCAGCCATCTTGCATGGCACACTCCAAGGGTTTAAGGGCTTCAATTTCGGTTGATGATACAATTTTGCAATACCCCTCGAGATAATGAATATACCAGAATTAGCATAGTCTAAGATCGTTGAGGTGATGCAGGAATTATATCATCAACCGTAAACCTTAAACCCTAAACCCCATAGATCCCTCAAAGGAACCCCTTAAAGGTACCCTTACTTGGAGGGTCGGGGCGCTCCAGAGGTTTAGGATTTGGAGCTTTAGCTGTAGCGTCTACGGCCTAGGGTCCGGGGATTCGGGTTTGTACACTTGCTGGCGAGACTTCAACAACCCTACTTGGGTGGTTGGCAATATTAGGGTCCCTTTTTGAGTCCTTATTACAATACGGCAGCTAATTTTTCGAATACCCAAAAATGTACCATGATTTTGACAAGCCCCTACTTGAAGCTACGGAACTAACTAAGACTCTCAGCTCGTCTACAACAGCCACGCAGCACAAGATTCAAAGCCGCACAGCAGATTCTGCATATACAGGCTCTTAGAAGCTTATGAAAATCGACCCAACAAAAACTCACATGATACCCTGTAGAGCCGATACCCTGGATTGTATGCACCCTAAGCCTTACTGTCTGAGTTATGACGCTCTTGCTGTAATCTGATAAGACGCCTAGAGCATTCTGGAGGTCCCGCATAAGGATTCCACTCTTCTGATTTTAAAAACCTTACTGTTGATACTAGGCATCTTCGTAGCAAAAACATTGACAGCATCAAAGGACGACCCGATGTGAAGACCGGCCCTTGATCTGATTGCAACCTCCGAAGTACCTTATACGAAGAAACCCCCAAAGGTGTGGGACGGTTGAGGGTTTAGGGTTTAGGGTACGGAGCCCTTGAGGAAACCCTGAAAGGAATCTCTGGAAGTCTTAGAGTGCCTCGTGCAATCCACATGAAACCCTGTAGAACTGTTCATGCAGGGGCCTTCATACTGAGAACAGGGGGCAGATCATACTGTACTGGGACTTTAACGGAATGGCACTTTTTATATTGAAAAACCCTACAGACCATGCCATGCAGTAGAACGGTTGCACGAAGCCGTTTTCAAAAAGCAAACACACTTAAAGACACCCTTAAAGGTACACTTACAACGTTCGTCCGAGGGGCGAAGTAGGTCTCCCCTGCCTCGAGGTCATGGAAAGTGCCCAGAGGCTCCTCAAAGATGTACGGAAACACCTGCAAAGCAGTCGCAGTTCCGGGTTCAGGCGGTTAGGGTTGGGGCTGGGGGTTTCAGAGGGTCCAGGGCTTTCGGCTTGAACCTTTCAGGGCATGCGGGTTAAGGTTGTAACGGTTGGTTTTTGGGTATATGGCTACAAAGCAATCTGATAACCGTTCTAACATGAAAACAAGGGTGGGTCAATGTAGCAGAGGCACTACTTATGTTTGTAGGGGTTCATCCTTGCTCTTGCTGTCGGTGTTGCATTTGCTACTGTGACTGCTGACTGCAAGTGACCCGTGGCGGCATTCACAGCGCTCTAGAAATCATCCTCGTTGTTGCTGCTGTTGTCGCTATCATGTCCGTTTCGTGCCGTCTGGACAATCCGGCTCTGTTGTGATACCAAAGATCTTGCCTCCAGTTCTGTGTTGTGAGGAAAAAGTTCGCTCGGTGGTTTGTAGAGCGGAAAGATCAAGGTTCGAGGACATCCCAGGCTTAGGGGACGAGGATCCGAAAGATGTTCTGTGTAAGGTACAGCTTTCAAGGCTACGGGGCAGCTTGGCAGGTGAATCCTTCGGAGCGTTGTGTCCGACTGCCTCCAGTGATTGCCTCTAGAAACAGCTCAGATGCATTTCAAATTTGGGGTCTGAGTAAACCCTAAACCCTAACCGCATTTTTGGGCTTTCGGAATGCCTCTCCGGCACTCTCCAGCTTGTACTTCTCCTCCGAGTGCGAAGGCACCGGAGCGGTGAAGGAGTGTGTTGCCCCCCGAGGCCCAAGGGTTTGCGGTTGGTGGTTTCGGGTCTTGGGGTTTTGGAGTTGATGATATAAGTAAAACTTAGGGCTTTTTAATGGGGCTTAGGATTCAGGGGCTTAAGGGTTTAGGGGCTTAGGGACTGCCATGTAGGAATCTGAAAGTATCAGACTGTCGATGTTGGGGAACCACACGCCGGCTTCGGCTCTTGGGTGACCTCATATAGGTTTGCTGTTTAAGGTTTTGGGTCCAAAGGTTTAGGGGTTTAGGCATTTAAGGGTTTAGAGCTTATAGGGTTGAGGGTTTAGGCCCTGGGTTTATAAGGGGGGTTAGGGCGTTGGCACTGCTGGGTTTGCTGCTGGGATTGTAAAACAGTAGGACTGCTGTTGATCGCGCAGCATCTTGAACTCCAAACCCTCGCCCCAAACCCCTTTGAGGCTCCAAACCCATAAATGTAAAATCAAGGCCCTCAACCCTCAAGACAAAAAGGACATGAAACACTAAGACTATAAACCCTTGAAGCAGCCCGGAAGAGAGCGTTCCAAGAAAAATCCTATGGAAAGGCGCCCTCAAACATACTATGGGATCGGAATGAATACTTATATCAGTCCTTAAAAACTCCTAATGCAACTATAGACTACAGTATAACATCACCGGAAACCCTATTCTAACTATTCAGGCCCTCTGTACTGCGTTCAGGCCATGGGGCTCTTGAAGGTGCTCTCAAGAACTGTAGACCCTTGAGGGAGCCCCTGAAACCACTGTACAACCCTTAAAAGTTCCGTTTTATGGTGTCCATACGGTAAAGGGCTTCTGTAAGGGTTCCTTCGTAAAGGGTTCCTAGAAGGCTTCCTTTAAAGGGGACTGTTTTAAGGTTCCTTTAAGGTGCTCCTTTGAAGAGTTTAGAGTTCCTTTACTTTAAGGGGTTCCCATCAGGGACAAACACCCAAAGTCCTCGGCGGTCTTTTGGCTCAGGTGGATCTTGCAGCCCGGCATCACGTCCGAGAGGCAGTAGGTCCTCGATGCCCCACTCCCACACGGGGCTCACAAATTCACCCCAAACCCCAAACCCTAAACCCCCCAAACGCCCTAAAAACTCAAAAAAAATACTAAACCCTACACGCCAACAAGCCTAAACCAGATGAACACCCAGTCGTCACAAGTCTCGTTGGAATGAAGTGTTCCCTTCAAGGGCTTTGGATGGTTCTTTAACGAAGGCTTTATGGGGTTGTATACGGCTGGTGTAAGTTTGCAATCAAGTCCTCCGACACGCACGTTCAGTAGCCGTCAAACTCACAAGCTCTGAGCCCTACCCACAGAAACTGACCCAAAAATGCCTTCCATCCAAACCCTGATGCCATGACCCCTACGCTCTCCAAATCAAAACCCCAAGCCCAAATTAACTCTGAACCACCCTTACTGCACACTTATTGTCGAACCCTTAGACTTGAGGGAACCCATATGGGGGTTTCCGAAAATAGGGGACCCTAATATGGTACCCTAAAGAGTAGGATCCTTATTATAAGGGCCCCTAAATAAGGTACCCCCAAGTTCGGAAACTCCCATATAGCTCCCTGAAAGCAACCCACGTCAGGGCCCCCCATGCTGAACCCGAACCCGACAAAACGCGTCTCACGGGCTCTGAAAGAAGGAACTCCCCCAGGTTTTGGGGATCAGGGCTCCAGATTTGCTATACTCTTCAAAAGTGAGTGAATTTGGGATCCGTCTTGCGAGTTTTCAAAGTTCGAGGGTCTGGCTGTCAATAATCCGGTAGGACCCTAAACCCTAAACCTTAGACCTGCCACAATAGCTTCAAACCCCTAAGGCACAAAGAACATGAGTACAGTACTAACTACACTAGTGGCTGTACTAGTATCAGAAGATACCTGAGGATAAGAATCGTATTGACTAAGAACCAACATGACACAAGTAATCATGGTATCAATAGTGCTAGTAATACCTGTGGTTATAAGGTAACAACGCAGGCAGTAAGAAAGATTTTATGGGTGGTTGTCAAAATTTGGGTCCCCTTTTGGGTCCTGATTATAATACGGCAACTTATTATTAGGGTACCCAAAAAGGGACCATGATTTTGACAACCACCCACATAAAGGAACCCGACCCTGAGGTCCAAGCTCGTCGATCTCTGCCGCAGTGATTTTCCCATCCTCGCCGGGCAAACCCAAAGCGCTAGGCTTTGGGTCAAGGTGTACCCATAGGCCCCAAAGTAGTTCCTTTCAGGGATTACCTTATGGGATGCTATATACGAACCCCAAAAAGGAACTGCTTTGGGGCGTTTAGGATTTACGGTTTAGGGTGCGGTGCAGAGTTTGGGGTTGCGGGCTTGAGGTTTAGAATTCTAGACCCCTTGAAAGATTGACATTGCCGAATGAGGGAAGAGGACACATAAGTATGCACCCACACCTCTAGAACAAACATGTTGCTGAAAATTCAAATGCCCGCTGTGCTCCAAGAAAAGAGCATACTCGTAATCTCCATTGACAACAGCAGCCACGCCCCGCACTGAACCCCCAAACCTACCACAAAAAACAGTGAAGTGCACCGCATAATATCCTTCGACACTTCGAGCCACGAATGGTTTAGGACTTGGTGATCTGACTCGAAAATGAGTCCAAGGGTAAAAGGAGGGACCCTCAATAAGGACCCATACGTATATACCCTTAATACAGCTATTATATACCCATTATATAGCCCATTACTCCATTTCCCCTTTGAATGAGGGCTCAGAAGGGCTAAACCCTAAACCCTAAACCCAAAACCCAAAACCCAAAACCCTAAACCCTAAACCCTAAACCTCGGATGTCAGGTTGGCGGCCTCGTCTGCACACATCAAGGCATGGGCCTTTGGGGCTCCACCCGCAGCCCCACCCTGCTTACCCTAAACCCTAGACGGCCTTAAACCCTAAACCCTAAACAACCCCAAATCCTAAACCCTAAACGGCCCCAAACCCTAAACCACCCTAAACCCTAAACCGTATTCAGCAGTCCTTGATGGGAAACTTCTCATCGTACATGCTGTACTTCCTCAGCTGGCTCGGGAGTTTAGGGTTTGGGGTTTACGGTTGAGGGTTTTTAAGCATTGGTCGCAGGCTCCGGGTTTGGGGTTTCGGGTTCAGGTGGGCTGAATGACGTCGGATGCAGGCTTTCAGGCCAATGGTCGAGGCTTCGCGGGTTTGGGGCTGGGCGATCAGCACCAGACCCTTTGGGAACCGAGGCATCGCCTTCAATCCTTAACTACTATTTGCTTAACAAACCCCCAAAAAATAAAAATAATAATCCCTATATTACCCCCATAAGGAATATATGTTTTATTTTTTGGTGGGTTCTTAAGCAAATAGTAGTTAAGGCTATCAACAGATGAAGCCTTGACCGTCCAGATCTCAGGGCCCAGGGTTTAGGCGGCAAGGGCTTCCGGAGACATTGACCCAGACGGCCAAATACATGCACACACACACACACACACAAACAGTCACAAACACACAGACACACACACACACGCACTACAACCACACTGCAAAGAAGCAACTGCACAAGCACAGATGCGCAACAAGCACGCATGCCCGCAAACAAACAAGCAAACAGCCAGACGAAGAAAAGCTAAACTATACACAAAAAACATACACACCGTGCGTGCGCACAACATGCCGGACACAACAAACTTGAGCCCGGCATATCCGCACCTTCGAGCGCTCCCAACAACACTTGAGACTTAATTACCTTAAATCCACGTAACCTACCTTTTTTAAGGACTTATATAAAGAAATCATATTAGGGAACCCTAAAACAGGTAGGTTCCGTAGGATCCAGGTACTGCAATGCCTACATCGGTGCCTCAAACTCTGGGGTTGTCCTGAAACACAGTTGCGGCAGAAGTTCAAGACCACATCGCCGTTGGCCTCCATGCAGAAGCGGTTTAGGGTTCAAGGCTTAAAGTTTAGAGTTTAGGGTTCAGGGTTTAGAGTTTAGAGTAACGGGTTCAGGGTTTAGTGTTCAGGGTAGTTTTAGGGTCTCGTATGAAAGAAGCTCTGGTCCTGAAGCGTGGTGGGGAGTGGTTGCTCGAGCTTTGGGACCCTTGCCACTGTCCTATGCTTCGGGGCTTCGGGTATGCACATGCCCCAAACCCTCAGCCCCAAACAAGCCATAAAAAATCAAGACTCAAGCCGTACATGTTGAAAAGCCTCAACCCCCAAAGCCCAGAAGTGAAACCCCGACCCCTACAAACCCAGATCTTTAGGGATGTTACAATGTTATAGTCTCTGAAACCACGGAGGCATCCAAAGCGCCAAGCCAAAAACAACTCAACGGCCTCCACCCCTACGGGCTCCTTGAGGAGAACCTTCAAACGCCCGGGTTTAGGGTTCGATTTAGGGTTTAGGGTTTAGGGTGAAGCCTGAAAACTGGAACGCCAAGGCCTTACTACTACTACTACTACTACTACTACTACTACTACTACTACTACTACTACTACTACTACTACTACTACTACTACTACTACTACTTCTACTACTGCTACTACTACTACGACGACGACTACTACTACTACTACTACGTACTACTACGACGACTACTACACCAAGGGCTCCCTTTTAATTTAAGGATCGTTTAGTGGAACTCTCAGTCTCTCGACTCACAGAACCCTAAGCCCCGACCCATAAGCCCTAAACCCCAAACCCGCAAGCCTGAACCCTAAGCTTTTAAAACCCTAGGCCCTATAAAACCCAGCAGCCCTAGTGTAGGAACCTGATTAAGCAACCCTGGGCCTAAACCCCCCCCAAAATAGTAGGATTCATATAAGGCACCTCAATAAAGGCCCAAGGCGACATTAAACCCTCCCGTTCGCCTTGGCCTTTTTCCGCTGCCGCTCCTCTGGAAAAGGGGCCGAAAAGGCGAAAACTCCGGGGGAGATCGGCTCTTGCGTGGTTTTTGAGTAAAGTTTAGGGCTTAGCTCGGGTGTATCGAATCTATGATTTGTGTTAGTTTTAGGGGGCGTCCAGGGGTTATGGAGTTTTTTTGGGGTTTGGGCTTGGGTTTAAGGTTTAGGGATGTTTAGGGTCTCGGGCTCAGGGCTTCTAGGTCCTATGGGGTTTGGGTTTGGGGGGTTTGTAGAACTTACAAGCTTCGGGGATCTGGAGTTGGGGTCTTGGGTCTCGGAAGGGGGGTTGAGAGAAGGGGCAGGGTGTAGAGGTTCGGGTTTAGGTTTTAGGGCTTGCTGGAAAACCTTTCTTAGAGCTCTTGGAGCTTTATGAGGTTCGATTCGGATTTGTCTGATTCCTGGGGCTTAAGGATCGAAGGCTTCCGGATTTGGCTTGGCGCCTAGGGCGTAGAGTCGTGGATTTGGGGCTTGCGGCTCAGAGTTGGGAACTGTCTATGGGTCCAAGTCGGCAAGGCTGACCTGGACCCTACGGAACCTACCTTTTTTAGGGTTCCCTAATATGATTTCTTTATATAAGTCCTTAAAAAGGTAGGTTACGTGGGGTTAAGGTAGTTGTGTACAGGTTTGTGTTACAGATGGAGCTTGGTGTGTCTTCGGATGATCAAGACTTGCGCGACAGAGACTTACCAGGCAAGGCACGAAAGCTGCACCAAAAGGGTGAGGCTCATGGTTTGGAAGGCCTTGCAATTCATAAGCAAGTAGTATACATGGTCCCTGGGTTTTCTGGTTGGGGGTTGAGGGGTTTAGCTTCTACGGTTCAGGGACTGACGGGTGTATGTATGTTTGCATGCAGGGTGACCCGGGAGAGCAAGTAAAAAACCATGTATGCACGCAGGCCTGTCGGACCGTAGGAATGTATGCAAGCCTGCATGTAGGCATAAACTCGAATATTCCAGCTACGCAGGCCGCCACAGTATGTGCGCATGTGTGCCGCGTGCATACACGGTCGAAACGCCCACCCACTGCCCAGGCCTTTTTACACACATGCTACATCTGTCCTTATCCCTTACGCCAACCCAGAGCCCAAGCCCAGTGAGCTTTCTAAGAATTATGTACGAACTCCACAACCAGCTCCAATCAGCACTCCAAGAGTCTGAACTCCAAGACCCAAAAGCCCTGGTACCCAACTCCGAACAGTGCTGACCTCCTGTCCCTTTTCACATATCGGGCTCCTCTTCTGCGGCCGCCTCTGCTTTCTTTCGCTCCTGCTGGCATACGAAGGATATTGGGGCTCAAGAGGTTAGCGTTATGGGCTTAAGGTTCAAAGCAGGGCTTATCGCTTTCAGGGTTCCGGCCGTGCACTTAGACAAATCCCACAACACCCGTTTTCAAATCCCAGGATAAAATTGCTTGTGACACCCCATCCTCTGCTTATGGAAAAAACAGCATGGGAGAATGAACAACGACGGGCCGCGTGTGTTAGAACATCCTTGCATTCCGAAACGATTAGGTAGCTTACATTACGAAAAACGTCACTGGGCCAGGCCGGTCAAGCACCCCGCCTCCACTATGCTGGGATTCTCCCGCAACCCTGCCTCAAGTCCTACGCCTGCGACTCCTACATTTTTTTCAAACCCTGACCTTTAAGACGCGCTATCCTAGTACTCTTATGGGGGCCTAAATGATTCGCCTCGGCCGTGGCCGAGGCCAATTCCCCCCTGCGTTTCGGGTTCGCAACTCCTGCGTCCAGAACTTGTGGGGGAACCCCCCCCCCCCCGGATGCGAAAAGCCCCTAAGCCTAAGCCCTGCCCCCCTTTCCCCTCCCGCTTCCCATTCTTTTCGCTGCAACCAGGCCCAGGTTGCATTGCACCTGCCTCAAGTACAGCCGGGCCAAGGCCGACGACGCGAAGCGTTTAAATTAAAATACTATTCCAATAATTCTTTATCATAACTATAGTATAAGATACCCCAAAAGTACTTTTTAGTTACTAAGGTATAGCACCCTTGAAAGAACCCTTGAAGGAACCCTCAAACAAGTAAGGCCCCTAGTTGCCGAGATGTTGAAACGTGCGAGGCCTCTTCGAGCTTGGCCGCCTCTTCCTCCTCGCGGTTTGCTGAGAGGCCCAAGAAACTGGTTTAGGGTTTAGGGTTTAGAGCAAGTAGGTGATAAGAAAAATTATGAATACCCTAAATGGAAATACCCAAATTATAACGCTACTTAAAACCCGACTTACCAAGTCCCCTGGGCCTCCACGTGGAAGTCTTTTGAGTCAGGCCGGGGATTTCAGAAATCAATCCCTGGATTTAGGGGCTATAGATTTTGGGTTTAGTGGCTTCGTGTTTAGGATTTCGGAGGTCCCCCGGATGTAGGGTGTAGGGTGTTTCGTGAGTTTAATGGTTCGGATTTGGGGTTGAGGGGCTCAGGGTTCGGGGCTGGGAGTTTTGGAGCTTAGGGTTTGGGGTTGAACCTCTAACTGGGTTGTGGTCTTAGGGCTCCCCAAAAAGTATTTCTGAATTGTGCCCCGATAGGGACATAACGGTTCAATTCAAAGCCTCGCGAAGCTCAACTCCTTTGAGGGCCACGCATACCCCTATCGGGATTCTATGATGTAGGGCCTGAACTTAGGGCTTAGGGTTTAGGATTTAAGGGCGGGCCCTGCCGCTACACCCCGTGTCTTTCGAAATAAATCGCCCTGAATCATTAATTAAAGACTCTACAAATCCCCAACCCCTAATCCTGCAAAACCCTTAAACCCCCTAAATCCCTCAACCTGATAGCCCGATACCTCTATAGAAGCCGCAAAAGAATCCGTATGATATCCTGAATGCAGGGTAGCTTTAATTAAGTAAGGGACCCGTTAAAATGACAAAAAAACTCGAAAGCCCCTCCTAAACCCTAAACCATCACCCTAAACCCTAAACCCCTAAACCCTAAACCCTATACCCTATACCCTAAACCGCTAAAGAAAACCCTTGTTCGATGCCTTCTTCTTTGCCTCTTCTTCGGAGACCTTCTCCTCCGACTGTCGCCGTGCCGGTAGCTTCACAAATGCATTAAGTAAGGGCCCGCACTTTTACCAGCACCATTTTGGTGGGTGCCTTATTATACCTGTAGTACAATATACCCAAAAAAACCCTAATCTACTCATAAAGGCGCCCACATTAATCAGAAAGACTAGTGCGTCCTGGGGCTTGGTTGGGAATCTCGGGTGTTGGGATTGGGGCTTCGGGCATGTATGATCTATGGGTTGAAAACGGTATACCCTGTGAGCCCCGAACCCGTCAGGGCCTAGGGGGCGTAGAGCCCAGAAGGACAGCGCTTCGAAACCCTGAGAACCCCAAGGCCGATGATAGGTTTCCCGGTCGGGCTCCGTTGCAATTGGGATTTGGCATTTTGGGGTCTAGTATAATTACATTCTCATGACCTGCATTGTAGCAAGAAGCCCCAAGTGAACGTGTCACCAACTATGCCATGCGAAGTTCAATTGAACACAAATCGTGTTGGCTGACTCCAGTTTTCCTCTGCGTCACCGCCCACGTTGTCACGAGATGGCAATGGTGGCAGCGACGGCAATGGTGGCAATGATGGCGGCAGCGGCAAGGAGTCCGGGAGGGCGGCGGGAGTCGCCGATGATGGTGTAATCGTGGGCACCGAGCTGTCCGCGGCCACCGGCGGCGGGCTGCTGGGTGGTGGTCTCGATCTCGGTCTCGGCCCATTCATCTGGGGATGGTCTCCGGGGGGCGCAGCTGCGGCATCGCTCCACGTGTTCCGCATCTGCTGCCAGTGCTGCCGGATGTTCGTTGGCCAGAGGACGATGGGGCCTGGAGTCTCTGGCCTCTGCAAGGCTAGCAAGGGTGGTTATCAAATCTGCAGCAAACCCCTCCCCGTATAAACATAGCACCCCGCATCCGCACCCCCCCCACCCCCTCACCCCCGCCACCCCGAAAGCCGTAAGCCCTAAAACCTCCAAACGCTAACCCCTCAAACCCTAAACCCTCGTACTCTCAAACCCTCAAGCCCTCAAACCCTAAATCCTCAAGCGCGGAAACGCTTAGACCCTCAAACCCAAGCCAAGCCTCCTCTTTGGGTGCCTCCTGCTTGGAATCCTCCACTTTCTGCTCCTCCTGGCCGGCCAGGACGGGGCGGGGGGGCAAGCTCGAGAGGACGGCGGTTTAGGTTTTAAGGTTTAGGGGTCTAAGGTTTAGAGGTTTAGGGGGGTTTAGGGTTTAGTGGGTGTTGGGGTCTAAGGTTTGGTTACGTAGGGTGCCTGGATGGTTTTTTTGGGGATCAACTCGACACGAAGGGCTGTTTATGCCAACTGGATTTTGGCAGAGACTTCTCTGTAGTGGAGATATGAGTTTAGCATGTGGTTTCAGGGTTCAGGGACTTATGGCGCAGCAGCTGCAGTGGGAGTGGACGCAGTTCTGCGGCTCCGCGTCAGTATCTGCTGCCTGCGCAGCTTGCAATCATGTCTTTTCGACCACCGCTGGAGTTGCGAAGCTGCAACTCAAAAGCACTGTCCAGTGACAGCATAACCCTGGGCGGCCACCCGGCATTTGGGGTTGCGCAATTTGGTCGTCATGCAGCCCTTTTTGGGCGAGGTACCAACAGCAACTACGGTTGATGATATCAAGTCCTGCATTACCCATAATAAGGAATGTACCATAATTCCCATAGTCTAGGGTCATTAAGGTAATGCAGGATTTATATCATCAACCGTATGTTCTGGGGCGACAGTCTCTGGAATTCGAGATGGACTAGGCATTGTTCTGAGGCAGCATGGCCCTGAAGCTCAAGTGCTGGAGTCCAAGCCTAATGTAGGGGGCCCTAATAATTAGAAGAGGGTTTTGGGGGTTCCTTGTTACATTTATGATATAATCGGCCCCAAAACCCTATTCTATTCATTAAGGCCGCTCTATTCTGGTGCCTCAACTTCTCGGCATGTGCGAAGGTTTCCTATATAAAACCAACAATCATGCTAGAGAGAATGCCAAGCCGGTGCCCCATAGACTGGTTCGGGTTACACATGAAAATTCTGAGTCGATACAAGTACGAACAAATAAATGCAACAAATAAACATGCGTATATCTATAGCTGTTAACATAAAAACGTATATGTCTGTACTTACATACACACATACAAAGGTAGATATAGATATGGATATATATATATATACATACAAATATTTGCTTGCTTAGGCATTTGTACATGAATGTATAGAGTATACGCATCCCTATCTTTTCCATACGTATAAATATGTGGTGTAGGGCTTGGGTGGCTTTTGGGCATACGGTCAACACGGTGTATCTGTATATATATATATGTATGTATATGCACATACACAGATTTATGCACACGTACAGATATGTGTATAGACACACATTTGTCTATCTCCTTCTCTGTGTGTGTATATATATACATGCAAAGCACAGTATGCAATATGTACAGTATGTCTGTAATCTAGGATATTTTGTTGCACAGAACATATCTGCACCAATACCTGCTTATTCTTGTTCTAGCGTTGGGGTTTAGGGTTTAAGGTTCAATTCCAGGACAGCATGAAGCCCGAAGCAGGAAAGCATAATTTGGATTTCTTCCAATTCCTTCGAAGTCTTTCATCCTCCACATTTTTGTGGGTCTCTCTCTTCCATGCAAGGAGTAGTGCTCAGAGAAGGAGGAGGAGGCGGCGGAGGAAGACCAGGAGGAGGCGGAGGAGGCATGATGAAAGTGGTGAATGCGAAACACAACAGCAACGACTCGCAATCCACGGTAATAACGGTTGGATAAACTCTGAGCACATTGCGCAGAAATTGCGCAAATATGTAACCAGAGTACTATGTAGGCTAGTATCACGAATCATTGCTATCTAGCGTTGCACATCATGATCAGCATCATCACCACCTGCACGAGCAGCTAAATGCTCACCATCGTCAACGACTGCACCATTTCATACCTGGAACGTAACACCTTATGAGTTTGCTAAGCCCGCTTGTGACCTGCTTGTGACCCTGCACGCCAAACCTAACCTAACATAAACCTTCAACTCCGTAAACCCTGAGCCCTGCGAGTTTTACAAATCCTTTGAAGATGTGAACACAGCTCTACATCCTAAATCTCTGAACCAGCCTCCTTTCGCAGAGCCTTCGCGGCGGCGGCACCAGCACCCGCAGGCGACGTCGGCGCCGCCTCGCGCATCGACGGTAATACTGGTTTTTGCTCACGATATTGATTCTTTTCAAGAGTGTGTATGATCAATATTTCTACCTTTCTTGGTGGTAAGGTGTGTAGAGCTTCAAGCTTTGCTTTTGGGGTTTGGGGTTGGGTTGAGGGTTTTAGGCTTTGATTGTTTGAAGTTTTGGGTTTGAGGTGCAGGGTTTCTTGGTTCAGAGATCACCAGGCCATGCACTTTTGTAAGAACACAGCTGACAATGAGGACCGACGGGCTAGTACCTTCTACGCACACGAAGATTTCAACAACAAGGGAATGACGAAACCCATAAATAAACAACAACACGTACAAATACACATACACATCTACGTACAACTACACATGCACATTTACATTTATCTTAGCATAAACATATACTTATACAAATACATAGGCATATACTGATGCAAGTACACATACACATTTGCATACACATGCACATATACATACACATTGATGAACACATACTTGGATATACATATGCATCGACATAGGCATTGACATCCACAGACATATACACATGAAACTACATATATACATATACGCATGTACGGATGATGCACAGACACATACGCATATACTTCCATGTCGACCTATACTTGTGCCTATAACTGTACCTATACCTATACCTCTGCTTACACATACACATACATAAACGCATACACATATACGGATATTAGTACGCTAATACACATGCACACACACACACATAGACATAGACACAGACATAGCCGTAGACATAGGCATAGCCATAGACATGCACATGCACATGCGCACACACACACACACATAAACACATGTGTGTATACACATATATACGTAAACCTACTCGTACACATGCACATATGCATACACATACGCACAAACATACGCACACACACACACACATATATATATATATATATATGTGGCAGGAACCTTTACGTATAATGTGACATGTCCCTTGTGCTATATTACAGGAAGGTCTTACGTGAGAGCATACAGTACGCACCCACACACACACACACGCTGGCAAATATCCTCGCATGATAGCCCACATACCATGTTCAAGGAGAACATATACTGGTTGTGGCGCTCAGTCAGTGGCTGGAAAGCCTTCCATCAGGACGACAGCATTTTGCAGGCTTGATTCGGAACACATTGTTTGGGATCAGCATTTGCGAACGCCCTAACATGTAACACATAGAACTTCATAGAACCATGTTACGCACAGCATACCGGGCGAGAACTGTGCGGAGACTATGTGCTTCCTATGATGTGCAGCCAGGGGCTACAGAAAGGAAGAAATCCAACCCTGATTATGTTAGCTCGCTGCGCAGCACCGTGTCTGCGCCCAGAATAAGCCAGGTTTATCTGCGAGATTCACGACCTGTGCTGTTCAGTCCACGTAATGTACGGACCACATTGTTTGCAATTCGACTTTGCGTTTTGTTCAGGTGGCTGTGCTCGCACATGATGCAGACATAACAGCAGCACAGTCAGTGTACTAAGCGAGAATATGTGCAACGGCTGTGTTGTTCAGTCACTGGATGTAGAACGCAAAATCATGGGGAGAACTGATACTGACCGTGTTATCGCTCACACAGTGCTGTCCGAGACTGACAGCCAAATCCGCGGCTACTTCTTCCCTAACCTACCGGTCCGTGCAAACCTTCCGCATCTCGATGACACTGCGGACGTGGAGGCCCTGCCGAGCACACCAAACAAGTAGTTGCTGTCCATCTACGTCAGAAGGAACGTGCTCCAGCAGCTTCACATGACAATGAACATGCTCCAGCAGCTTCGCAGAGCGACTTTTGCACCGAATGCCGCGTGGTCGAGCATTGAGGTTGCCTCAGGCCATGCTGATTGCGCATCGCTTCACGCCCTGTCGTCTGATTTTATGAGAACGCTCCATAGTGAAAACTGTACGCTTTCGTTTGAGGCCATTGCGTCCTGCGGGTTTCTTGGAAACCCAGTCGCTGACCTTTTTGACCTCTTCCAATCTGTCACGCTGCAGTGGAAGGTCGGCTTTCTCCGTACTGTGACACCACTGCTTCCATGTGTCATCTGTCCACACGGATGCAGTGACGATCCGAGCCAGCACGAGACCACTACTCATCTGACTGAGAGTCGGATATCGCAAAGCACCATAATGAGGCAAAACTTTGCCTAAGGTTAACACCCGCAGCTTTAGCTGCAGCGTGCTTTGATGCATTTGCTGTGTCTGCTTGAACCAACTCTTCACCTCACTGTGCAACGCCTCATTAGAGCTTGTGCCAGACGGGAGAAGCGTTCTCTCCGATGGACCTCAAACATTCAGCTTACTGGTATTAAGTTCAGTGAGTGAATGCCAGCATATGGCAATGCCACAGACAGTAGCAGTAAGTCCAGGACGCAGCGAATGTCGCCATCGGAGGTTGTTGAAAAGCCACTCCAGTCGATCAGGCGCACAAGCACATTTCAGAACCTGATGAAGTGGTACATTGGCACCGGTGACTTTTCGTGCCATATCAAGTCGGAAGACCGCTGCGAGTGCAGCCAACGCTTCGATGAATTCCAGTCTGCAGCCAAATGGTACTGCACTGTCGAGACTGTCCACAATTCTCTTAGCTTTTGGCGCCAGCATTGTACCCGAAGTGATTAAATCTCGTCTTCGAGATTCCAACATGGATAAAGGCCTTTCTTCATACCCACGAAAGTAGACGCCCCATGAACCTTCCGACTTGTTTGCGTCTACCACGATCAGCTTCTTGAGGACTTTCCTGAGGAAGACTGCGCCTGCTGTCTTCTTTCGCCATGTCGCATACCTTAGCCGAGAAGTTGCGGTGTGTGACTTTAGGAACTAGTTGTCGAGAAAGGCAACCAAACACTAACGGCAGGACACTCATAGGTGATTGCCAAGTGAATAGGATCCAGGCAAAGACTTTCCAGACCAGGCATTATTCGCCGAAGATGTAGATATAGTTTTCTCGATGCATTGTCCGCTGCAACCATCCTGACCTGCCGGAGGCCTTCCGAGGGAAGATTGGCTCCAAGTGCCATTGCCACTTCCTCTGCTTTCTCCGACGCTATTGCAAACATGCCCAGCACGGCACCGGTACGGCCTCGCACGGTAAGAACTCGGCGGACAGCTGAAACATCATCAAACGGTGCCTCATTTCTTGTTACAACGTTGCTGCGCCATGACGCCTGTCCCAGTATGGAGACACAACAGTTTATCGTTGCATCAATGGATATGTACTTGTACTCGTCGCGAGAGCAGAGGAAATGGGTTATACCATCATGCAACTGCTTGACTTGCGGGGAGTTGAACACGTCCTCGATGAGTGGCCACCAGTGTCTTACGTCTGTCGGCAAGAGCGACGTAAGAGTGCAACCGCGCTGGGAAAGAATGTAAGATACTCGAGAACGCAATGATTTGCACTTTCCGTTGCATAGCAGTGCCTCCTGATACACCAAATCAGCAAATCCACGAGTCACATAAAGGTTTCTGACTCTCCTTAGGCGCCTGTCTCCCAGCCCATCAATGTTCTGAAACATTGGCCCTGTTTCTGTAAGGACGAGACGGATATAGCGATCCACTTCCTGATTTCTCCAACTCGCAAAGAAAAAAGTCATATGCTATCTCTAATGATTCTATAATGCTCCAGAAGCAATCGAGAAGCGCATGGAAAACTAAAGCAATAAACTGAGAGACAAGTGTCGTTCACGCAGCAGTTGAGCTTGGGGACAATACTGTGGAACATAATCTCAGCACTTCTCTTCAAGTAATCCGAACCGGAATTTCTGTTGAGCTGATCCTGGTCGAAGAGAGCACAAACGACCTTGAGTTGTTTGGTCCCGGAACACACAAAGTGTCTCTCTGGCACGTGATATGTCTTGATATGAGCCAGCAGCCTGTCCCGTCTGGAAAATTTTCGGAATGGACACAGCGGGCAACGCTTGTCTGCAGAATGGCTTTGTTTCGCTTGATGCACTTCTTCTTGCAGTAGTTTGTACAACCTACTCGAGACAGAAACGATGTCTTCGTCATCTGCCGTCGGCAAAGAACCAGGGCATTCATCGTCTGATTCGTTGTTGCTGCATTGCAAAACAGCCGCTGCATCCTGAACCCAAATATCATCAGAGCTCTCCGCGCCTGCCCCTGCATGCAGCAGAAGCAGCAATTCCAAGTTCGCCTGTAAATCGTCAGCTGGCCAGTTCACGTCTCCACGTTGGTCAAACAGCCGGAAAGTCACAATGGAACTAGAGTCCATCGCATTTTGAGATGCATCCTGTAGCTTGGTCAGCGGCATGTCCAGCGTCTCAGTACAACCACCCACTTCGGCAGACAGGACATCACCGTCTGTCAACGCCACGTCAACGGACACGCAATGAGGTCGCCCTGTATGTTCTGTGTGCACGAGGTATTTACCCTGCTCCGTAATGGAGAAGCCCAGGTGAGGCACCGCGTGTATGCCCAGTGCTGTCAGCACATCGTTGTAGCATCTCGATCCATGCGATGCAGCTTGGCTGTTGGCAGCACTGGACTCCTGTACGTATTCCAGAACTTGCGCCGCCTTCCCTGGAAACAGCTGGGCCACTGCCCGAAGAATACAGTTGCCATCTTTTCGCAGACACGCATACTTAGCATCGTGCAAAGCCTCATCGTCCCTTGCGGCTCCATATTGCCTGCATAACTCCATGAAGTATTTGTGCTGCTTCTCGACAACAGTCACCTTGAACCCTGTTCTTTTCAAGATCTCCTTTTCCGTTTCTGCACAATGGACTCCCAACGGTGTTCCAGATAAGCACGACGCGTCGATCCGTAGCCCGTCGAAGTGCAGGGAGATATGTTTCGGGCTAAATTGGCGCACCAGATGGTCTTCCCATGCCTGTAGAACAGTGTCTTCCACCAGCACATACAAATAGAATAACACCGATGCATCAGGATTTCGCTTTTCTTTCATAGTCCTCACAAGTTCATACACATCGGGAAGCAGCGAGCACGCCGTCCAGCGCATGAAGAGCGCCATCCGCTGGAATGACTGCATAAACTCGTTGGTGCCAAGGCTTACAGGAGTATTGGCACCGAAAAGGCACGAGTGAAGCACCTCCTTGCCTTCTTTGACAGTCAGCCCCAATTCGTTGCAGACACCGCTTCGATTTGTAGCTACCTTTCTCAGAACTTCCCAAAGATGTGCTGGCATTACCTTCTTCATGTCCAGCCGTTCGAACAACTGATGCATAATGACGAAGACGGAATTGGAGATGTCGAGATCATGCGTATCAGCACAAAGTATCTGCAGAATCCTTCGAGAGCACTTCTGAGCACCATCGCCTTCCACATATGCTCTGGTGCGAATGAGGTCCTGGAAGTTGCGTCGATACCGAAACGTCTGCTCCACCCTTGCTGCATTAACAACACAGGCAGATGTCTTGCAGGCTATCCTTCTCCTTTTACCTTCCGGAGCTTCATGTGACTGAGCACGCTGGTCACGCAAAAGACTTTCTAGCATCCTTTCGGACGCGACCAACTTCTTTCTCATCTTCTCCAGGTTGGCCATCTTCTCAATGGCAGTGGCGGACTGCTTGCCTCGCTTCTTAAGCCTGGCTATTGACTTGTCCAGATACTCAAGAACTTGACAAACGTTGGCTTCTCTGTCAGGACAACCATTGGCATACTTCAATAGAGATGCCACATCATGCACTTCCGAATGTGTCACATCCGACCCAGGGCTTGTGTTCACGAAAGTGGCCAGCTTGACCGGAACCTGAATGAAAGGCATCACGCAATCCTTGTACTTGGAGTTGTCCAGGTTGGCGGCCATTACCAACTTGCGCGAAAGTAGGACTTCCCATATAGCATCCCTTGTCATGTCAGTTGGGTGCTCGGTCGGCAGCTTCAGGTACTTGAACATACCCTTCGTGAATATTGTCTTGCCCTTTTGCAGACATTCCTCCCGGATGGCTTCAGCCACATTGACAAACTGCTGGTCGGTATCTTTCTTACTCTCCTGGCTAGAAGAATCCACAGGAATGGTGAGTTCACCGTCCGGCCCCGACCGATGTTTGCGAGGCAGACCGCGCGCTTCCCTCATTGCGTCCTCGATTAGCGGCTGATTGGCATATGCTTCGATCAGATCCTTGCACATCTCACGAGAGTGCTGCACTTCGAAGCCATGCTGTAACCGCAATGCTGCTGCAATACAGGGTCCGCTAGAAAGGAATTTCTTCAGGGAATCGTCTTTGCGAAAGTAGCCGGCCGTATTGGCATCGGTGAACTTGTTCTTGATGATGGTCTCCTCAATGAAACGAGCTTGCGGCAACCAGACACAGGATCGTCTGAAGATGGAATCGAAATTCTTTTCTGTTACCCCCACAAATCTCATGAGTCGGTTCAGCTCATACCTCTTCCATGCAACAAGCTCTATCATGCGGGTGATAATTCCATAAGGTCGTCTGCCTGCAATGCCGTCAGCCGACATAGTCTTCTTGTAGAGATCTTCTCTCATGCGCCTGTTCGTTTCGGGCGCTTCTTGCGCCGTGAGAATAAAACACCCGGCAGCTTGTTCGACCTGTTTCCTCATCTCGGTCTCATCAAACCATATGTTTGGGTCGATGAATTTGTGGTTGGAAGCGTAAACCGCATCGAGATGGCTGGAGTACAGGCTTTGCCCCACACCTGTGCAACACTGATGGTGCTTCTTTGTCACTCGCACTCGACGAATCAACAATGATGGCGCTTACATGTTTGACGAGAACATGCTACTCCAAGAGAGCATGTCTGGCCTCCTGGACTGATGCCAATGAAACATCGCACTACGTTCTCGCCTCGTTTGGCGAGCGCAATGGCCGCCTGGTTGCAGCGAAAGACCTGGGATGTCGTATTGCTGGAGGACGTGTGACTCGGAGAAAACTGAACAGACCCATGGACTCAGCACCATAAGACCAAGCTGCATCATTGTTCAGCCAGAAGGTTTCGGAGTAGAACGCAAGCGTTCGTTGCAAAGCTTCTTCCAGCACTGGATCGCGTAGTGGGTGTGGGATGTGCGTGTAGATATTATTCTTCGGGCTGTCGCTGACAAAGTTGACATAACTGTCCTGACTGCAATCGTAGAGCACTGTGCAGTCCTGGTACGAGCATCCTGACGCACGGGTTAGCGGTGTGTCGCACCACTCCACCACTAGACTGAAAATCTTGTCATCAAGTAGATGCCGCTGCATGGTTAAGCCGACCTTGGAAATAGCATCTGCCAGCGAACAGTCATGCACCTCCGGGGCTGCATCCTCCTCCCCAAGACGGCGGCTAGAGCGAGAACGACTAACGACGGCAACGCGAGCAGCATCCTCGCATGCACTCAAGAACTCTCGAGAGTTTCGATTGTGCTCCACGTACAGATTCATCACGGCACTTAGGACCTCAGCATCTGTCTTCGGGCTCGGGCCTGGTAGCAGACGAAACAAGCCTTCAAGATACAACATGTAACGCTTGCACCTTGCCAAGGTCTCCTGCGGTGGAATGCCACGGTGCAAAGTGAAGGCACCACCGCGGTAAAAGTAAAGGTCGCCTCCGTGACATCTCATATGAACCTCACCTTCTATGACCCAGAGCAGCAAGACTTGCTCTCGGACATGCATATCACTCAGCCGCATCCGATAGACCACTGTCGCTGCGACAATTACTCTCAGTAGGTCCTCTGGGACCTCTCCGGCCTGCGCAATCACGTTGCGCCGGATGGTAGCAGTCTGCTGAAGAATGTTGTTCTCTTCGTTGCGGTTGGATGGAATGGCCGTCTCCAGAGACTCCCTCGCACGTTGCAGCTGAGAGTTGAAAGTACTTTCAAATCTGGACATTGTACTGGCGGCGCCAGGCAATGCACTCCTCTTTCTGGCCTTGGACAACACCGTGCGGCTACTTTCGTCCCACTCGACCGCATCTATGGCAGCCTGCAAATCTTGCGTAAGGGCAGAAAGAGAGGCCCTGTCCAACTGCTCGTCCATTTCTTCAGATGGCCGGTGGTCATTTTCAGGATCTTCACCGATGTTTGGCATCGCCGAATCAAGCTGGGAAGAATCTCCGTCTGCTGCGTCTGCCTGAGGTAGCTGACCTGAACCTGAGGATCCACCGATGTAATCGCAGCTCTGGCCTGCAAGCTTCAGCCGGTGAACCTCCAGAATCGCGTCTACCTCTGACGGCATGTCTGGCACGCAATCAATGAAAGGACCCTCTTCCTGGTTGTCGGGATGAAGGCAAACAACGTACATAGCAGCAACACGCAAGCCATAGTACTTCTCGATTAGGTACTTGTACAAGTTCAATTGCAAGCGATAATGTATGCCGGCACAGTCGTCCAGATGAGAAAGAGGTTGTTTCATGGTGGACCACAGAGACACATACTTCCTGCGTAGCTGCTTTGTGCGCTTCCAGTCGAAAAGGATAACATCCGACGAAGGTGTTTGTGCCACGAAGTCTATGCACCCAGCCAGCTTTTCTTCCTCGCCGTAGACACACCATTCAGAGCGGAAAGCAATTAGCTTTGGCATCTGCTGAAGAAACGTTGAAAAGAGTTGCAGCTCCACCTTGTTCTCATGGACTTTGCCTCCATTGAGAAGAACCTCCAACTGAAGATGCAACCATGTGCCCCTGGCAGCAGCCTCAGTTGCATTTGCTTTCCAAAGGTCCTTTATTTGGGGCGGGCTCATTGGAATCAGGAGGCCGCCATGCTCGACAGAATATTCTGGTCGAGGCCACCGTCTGCTCTGCATCATGCACTGAATCGCCTTGTCAGCATCAAACTCTGCCGCGAAATTATGCACTAGGCCCGTCACAGACAATGGAATCCTGCACTCTCGCAAATAATACGTGTGCGTCTCCTCCACGAAACGTATTGAGTCGTCTCTTGGGTGTTTATGTGCCAGACGCAGAAGATCACAATCCACAGAAGGAATGGTAAATTCCAGAAAGTTCGTCGGGCAGTCTTCTAAAACAGGCAGCGTCAACGGGGTTCTCGCCGGTAGGGGAAGTCGAATTTGCGAGGTTCCGCGCCCGTACGTGGGACAGCACAAGGGACTCATGGACGCCTGCCAAATTCGGTTGAACTCAGACTCAAGCTGGACATATCCCTTGCTGCTGCCTCGACGTCGGCGAAGAGCCTCCTGTCGGTGCAAAGTGAGGCGCAACCACTGTTCTGGTGTCATCGCAGTGGATGTTGTCGATCCTCCTGCGTTGGGATACGGCTTCTCATCTCTGCAACTTCCGCCGACATAGTCGAGCAAAAGGTTCGGACACCGAGAACATAAGCGCTCAGGCTGCTGTCCAGCGTGAGCCGCACAAACCCATGTGTCGCAACGCGGACACACGCACCAGCGAGGCATGCCCAGCCCGAAGTCTCTGTTGCAGATGACACATGTGATTGTAGCTGTCATTTCCACTGGTGAACGTATTGGGCGAAATTGAACCATGCTGACGAGGTCCGGAGTGGGACGAGCAAAAGCCCAGACAAACAGCCTGGATAAAGCCCGTGGAGCAGGCGGCGCTCCTTCCCGAGCCCTGGCTGTTGCAATGTGAACGCCGTCCAACATGATCTCGAAAAGCCTCGCGTGCCAGCGGACACTGAAGCGGTGAACACGGTTGGGTTGCAAGCGAACAGGTCTGCGGCTGACATGCGGCTGCGGCGGAAGGTCAGCTAGTCCAAAGGAAGCCATGGCGTTATCCAGAAAGACATTGTCGAGCCTGCAGTACGCCTGTCTGCGTCTGTTCAAATCACACCAGTCACGTACACCAATGTACATGCCTACGACATTGCAAGGCAGCACAACATCGAATACGGCAGCGCCCATGAGTGGGCCAGATGACTCGAAGCCGGCCATATGTCGGAAGGCTGCAGGTCCAGGTCCTCCAACAACACCTCTCGCAGTCCACTCCAGCATGACATTGCGAGGAAAGACATGGAACATGGCAAGCTGGCGAATGTTCACCGTGACCAAGTGCGCGCACAAGTATGACTCCATCATCCAGCGCAACTTGGTCGGATCTTGAAACTCCTCCGTGTTCACTGAAACTCTTCTGCCCCGCCAGTGCCGACGATCTTGAACGGCACGCAACATCTTCGTACAGGTGCATGCTAACTTTCTGAGGTAGTCGAAGGAGAAGTAAAAACCTGGCAGATCAACCAGCAGTTCATCCAGCAAGCCTCCTCCTTCGTAGTCGGTGCTGGGCTTCTGTCCGTCCTGAGGCTGCACTGCATTCAATACAACATCGTTGTAACCACCATCCGACAAATCGAAAGATGGATACCAGACGCCTTCTTCACTATCAGAATCATCTCCGGCGAGAGTTATTTGCTGAACCTGTTCGGGCTCCTCCAAGATTGCCCTTGGCCGCCTGATGAAGCCATCCTGGCTGTCTGGATCTGGTGGAAGGGGGCGCAAAGGAAGGGGCTGATGCAGGAAAGCATCGTCATCAAGCTCCACATCGAACATGAAAGCTGTATCATGCGTTGTGTCATCGAAGTGAAGATCCCTCACGAAGCTGGTAAGATCTGCAGCAGCCGCATCCACTGTCTTCCCACCCGAATAATCATGGGGAGGAGGCTCTTGCTGCGGTGTTGGAACAACAGGCCCGCTCAGAACTGCCAACCTGCAGCGCACGCTCCACAAGTGCCTCTCCCAAGCCCTCTTGGAGATGAGAGGGTCAACTGGTGACAGGATAAGAGTTATGTCCACCATCTCCCCGTGCTCAATCAGGCGAAGCATAACCCTCGTCCAAGCGTCCAAACGCTTTATGGCCCGCTCCAGATCGGAAAGAGAATGCTGATCTGGCCGCTTTAGGTCTCGATGTCTTTGTGCGTCGATGTCATCATCGGGGGTGATCTTACCGGACTCAAATTCCACGCAATCCATGTAGTGCTTCCAAGTACGAGCATCAATGCCGACGTCGAAAGGGTTTGGCACGCGGAGCCACAGAGCTGGGCTTGTAACGAACTCCCGGATGTTTGCTCTGACGACCCTCTGAACATCTTGAATCCTCCCAACCACAATGCGGTGGCTGATGCACTGGGCAAGTGAGTCACTGGGAGCTGAACCTCCCACATAATCATGATCCTTTGAATCTGGAGCTGCGGGCACGTGGCTGCCCTGCTTGTACCTCACAGGCAGAAGAAATAATACTCACAGCCGGAAGTACAGTCTCTGACACGCGACTTATGAGCCCCAAAAAACTGTCAGAATTGCGGGGGCCTGCGTTTCCACGGTCCGCTTGCGGAGGGGACAACCTCACCTCGCCTGCCACAGCATGATGGCAAAGGAGACTTTGCCCGCGCACAGCCCCTTCAACTTTAACTTGCGATGCTGTGCATAGCTTGGCCACGCCCGCCTGTTCCATCTGTTT